GGGGGCCTAAGTCAATAGATTAAGAGGCCTTTAGGTTTTTTGAAAGCAGTTGTAACAGTGGAAGGAGAATGGCTAGTTCTCCCAGATCGGGCTGTCTAGCTTTGTTTTTAGCTGAAGCAGTGAGAACCTGTTGCGATCACAGAAGAGTTGAAGCTTCAGTAAATGATTCATAACTGTGACTTTCTCTGAAATCTGTCTTGAAGTTGAACGGCATGTAAGAATCTGTATATGAATTTACCTTTTTGCCAAGGGGTGTGTTTATTTGATGTTACTATATTGGAACAGTTAATTAGTAATAGGTACTATGTTATTATTCAGTTAAGTTTTCCAATGGTTATGTTATTCTAAATTCCTATTTCTTTTGTTTGTATTTTAGCTTTAGTGTTTAAATACATTGTGTTTTGCTTAACGTCAAGTAGTTTGACCAGTTGCATCATATCTGGAGTACACGTCACATCTACTTTTAAAATAAGAAAAAGTTAGGGTCTAGGCTACCTTCTTAAAATATTTTGAGGGGGTCTGGTCTGGTCCATAACAATGGTGACGGAGAATGTAAGAAGTAAAGCTAAAAGAAAGGGAAGAAATGGGAGAATGTAACAAGTAAAGCTAAAAGGGAAGAAATGGGAATTGGTTCACAATTTGAAGGTGTGGAACTCAATGTTAAGATGAGAAGGCTGTAAAGTGCCTAGTTCAAAGATGAGATGTTGTTCCTCCAGCTCGCTCTGTGATTCACTGGAGCACTGCAGCATGCCGATGACAGACAAGTGGGTATGCAATCTGGACACGGTGTTAAAATGACCGGCTACGGGCAGGTCAGGGTCATGCTTGCACACAGACTGTAGGTATTCTGCAAAGCGGTGACCCAGTCTGTGTTTGGGGTATCCAATGTAGAGAAAGCCACATTGGGTGCAGTGGATACAACTCATAAGATTGGAGGAAGTACAGGTCAATGACTGCTTTACCTGGAAAGACTGTTTAGGTCCTTGGCTGATGAACAGGGAGGAGGTGAAGGGGCAGGTGTTACACCTTCTGTGATTCCATGAGAAGGTGCCATTGAAAGGGCCAGTGGTGTTGGTGGTTATGAAATGAACCAGTGTCCCAAAGGGAACGATCCCTGGGAAATGCAGTCAGGCGGAGTGTTGGGAAGTGTGGTGGTGGCATTCTGCTGGAGTTGTCTGAAATGGGAGAATGATCCATTGAATGTGAAGGCTGGTGGGATGAAAAGTGAGGACAAGGGGGACCCAATCAAGCTGTTGTCAGTGATAGGAAGGAACAAGGATTGAAGCACAGGTGATAGGTCAGATGCAGTTGAGGGCCCTGTCAACCACAGTGGGTGGGAAACTACGGTTATGGAAGAAGCAAGCCATGTTAGCAGCATTGTTTTGGAAGGTAGCATCATCTGAACATAGGCAAAGGAGCTGGGAAAATGGGATGGAGTCCTTGGAGGTCATGGGGTGTGCAGAGCTGTAGAGAAGGTAGCAATGGCAGTCAGGAGCGTTGTAGTGGATGGCAGTGGACAGTGTATTGCCTGAAATGAAGACAGAGAGGTCAAGAAAAGGAAGTGTTGGAAATGGATAATGTGAAAGTTATAGAAGGGTGGAAATTGGAGGCAAAATGAACAAATTTTTCTCGGTCCTGGTGGGAGCATGAGGTGGCATCAAAGCAGTCGTTGGTGTACCTAAAAAAAAGTTGGGGGGATGCCAGTGTAGGACTGGAACAAGGATTGTTCCACATCCCCCATAAAAAGGCAGGTGTAACTGGGACCCACACAGGTGCCATAGCTACTCCTTTGACTTGGCAGAAGTGAGATGCATTAAAGGAGAAATTGTTCAGTGACAGAACAAGCTCAGCCAGTCGGAGGAGAGTGTTGGTGGACAGGGAGTGTTCAGGCCTCTAGTCGGGAAAGAAACTGAGAGCTCACAGACCGTCCTGGTGGGAATGGAGGTGTGGAGGGATTGGACATCCATTGTGAACATGAGGCAGTTAGGGTCAGGGAACTGGAAATAATCAATATGAAGGAGGGCATCAGAGGAATCACGGATATAGGTGGGCAGGGTCTAGACAAGTTGAGAGAGGATGGAATCAAGGTAGGAGGAAATTAGAATGGTGGGGCAGGAACAAACTGATACGATGGGCCTATCCGGGCAGTCTGGTTTGTGGATTTTGGGAAGGAAGTAGAAGCAGGCTGTCCAGGGTTGGGAGACTACAGGATTGAAGGCAGTGTGTGGGGGGGCAGGATCTCCAGAGGTAATGAGGTCGGAGACAGGCCTGGCAACAATGGCTTGATGTTCGGATGTGCGGTCATGGTTCAGGGGACATTGGGAAAAAGTGTCCAAAAGTTGGCGTTGAGCTTCCCCTCACACACACAAACCAATGTGATAAATGACAGGATAAACGTCCTTTTTGTATGTTATGAAGATGCTTCAAATGTAATTTTATGGCTTTAAGAAGTGTGTTTTGTTCTTTTGTTTTATGAAGAGAGGAGGAGACAGAGGTTCCAAGCCAATAAAGTAAACAGGTTGTGAGGCCTGAATTTTTTTAAAGTTGGAATAACAGAAGCAGCGTGAAGGGACGGGGTCAAACTCCCAACAAAACAAGGATTTTGGTCTAGTCCATAACAATATTACTTCGAGAACTAAAGTTTTGAATGCTTGTGGAAAAGAGGAGTTTATTTCAAGTTTTGTGTTTTTCTTTGGAATTTCACTGTGGATATTGGAGTCTTTTTTAAACAGTTTCCTGGAAATCACATGACTGATGATAACTTTTTGCTCTGCTGTGATCCTCCTGGGAATGTGAGTGGCTTGGAGAAATCCTTGTTTAATTTTGTTCAGTTTAAGATAAGTCTGGTCAAAACCAACTGAGTTGGAAGAATGCTTACTATTAATAAGCTTCCCAGCTTCTCCCATTTCTGAAAAGAAAGCACTCTGCATCAATTCAGAGTAAAACCTATTTGTTCTTTTGAAAGAACATTTCAAGATTCTATTTCCTGATCAAACTATCTCCAAGACTTTAGAGACAACTATGTATGATTAAGAACTTTACCAAATGTGCCAGAACATCAGAGCAATAGACTCCGCAAAATCCCACACTTCATCTTTTGTCTTCAAGAACAACTCACTGGCCAACGTGATTTTTTTTTCCCAGGAAGTAGAGGGTTACATGGAGGTATGACTTGGTAGGGAGTGCCTCCAATGGACACAGGGAGCCCCTGATAAGATATTTCTCCTTACCTGGCACCAGCTTTCAAAGGAAAACTTGCAAGCCCACCCCTGGTCAGATGGGGTTAGGCCATTAGTTCCAGTTAATGGCATCAATAGCCCATGAGTGGATGGGTCATCCAACTCCTCCACTGCCCCTGTAAAACAGGAGAGGCGAGGCTACATGCTACATTCCCCTGCCTATCAACACCCAACAGCAAGGTTGTGACTTTCACACATGCGATAACCATCCTGACGAGGGAAGTTTTGCCAATCACAGACTCTTGGATACCGGGTGAGGATGTGTTCTGCCCTTTAATTTGATGGTATGATTAGATAATTGCATCTAGGTTTAACTCCCTGATTCCTTACATTTACCCTTTAACCTTAATTCATTTAGCCTTCTGGGAACAGAGGACTTGATTTATATAATTCCTCTGAAGGAAAGTTGGCCTGTTAAAGTGGCACAACTGAGAGAGTGAGAGAAGAAAAAGAGCTGGCTCCCTGAAGGAGCCAATGGGAGTGGTGTCAGGAGAAGTGCAGAGTTTGCTTCCATTCCAGTAGGATTGAATCAGGTGGGGAGGGGATGTTGGGTCAGGTTTGTGGGGAGGCTGGGGTGGTGGTGGTGTTGAGAAGGTTGGCTGTCAGGTCCACAAGGTGTCAAGGAGGTGTAGTTTGGAACAGGGAAAGCTGAGTGGTGAGCCAGATTTTCGGTTTAATAGTTAGTCAGAAGTTAGAGTATCTTTCTAATTCTCTAACATTTCCTAAGCAGCTGTTAAGAACAAAGAACAATACAGCACAGGAACAGGCCTTTTGGCCCTCCAACTTGCGCCAACACATTTTGTTCAACTGAGCTGAAGTGAGTCAGAAGCCTCAGAATTGAAGCCTCTGACTTCTCTGCCTTTAAGGGACTTTTTGGGATGCTTCTGGATGCAGGGGTTGCCCATCAGAATTTTCAGTTTGCCTGGCACTTGGAGTATTTTTAACATTAAACACCTAATGTCAGGGTAAAACTGGTAATAGCCAACCCAACGTGACCTTAGAATGAATTGGCGAAATGATGGTTTATTTTACACACTGCCCAAATGGGAAGATTGGGGCTCAGCGAAGGAAAGAAAGATGTCATGTTGTGTGTTCCTGGTCACCAGCCAGTGTCGCTATTGGAAACAGTAAAGTGAGGTGGGGAAAAACCATTGCTTCTGGTCCCCATAAAGAACAGCAAACTGGCAGTCACCCCAAACTAGAAATCAGTCCCTGCAGCAAAGGGGAAAAGGCATTTGGAAGAAGTCATGTTATCCTTTCCTGTTTTACAGAATAATTGCACCATTCTACACCAGAGAGGAGAAATACCACAGAGAGATCCTTACCATCACCCAAGGAACAACAGTAGGAAGACACTAGCCCCGTTGCAGCATTGTTGAACACTGATAAGGTTGGACAGTAAAATGATCATCTAGAAAATAGTTGAGTTGGGGAGCTCTGACATACCATAAGACCTGAAACCAGTCAATGGTGTGGAACCTTCCATCAGGACTAAGACTTGAGAAGAAGTGTGAGTGGTTTCAACTGTGGTGAGAACTTCAATCATTTAAGTCACATGAACCACAAATTCTTTCCTCCTTGTGAGAGACTATTCAGTGTGAGATATCTGAGGAGGCCTCCATATGCTCATAAGATCTACAAACACGCAAGGTCCATCTGCTGTCCAACCTTGACAAGCACAGTCACATGGAACAGAAATTATTGAAGTGTGAGGTGTGTGATAAAACCTTCAAACAGTCATCAATTCTCGTAAAACACTGACGCATTCACACTGAGGAGAAGCCTTTCGAGTGTGAGGTGTGTAACAAGAACTTTGTAGAATCAGCGGCCCTAGTAAAACACCGCCACATTCACAGAGAAAATGGAGAAAAACCATTCACGTGTAAGGTATGCACCAAATCATTTTCACGGTCAGACCTCTGCAGGCACCAGCGCATTGTCACTGGGGAGAAGCATTTCAAATGTGAAACATGTAACAAAGGGTTTACAGAATCCTCAGACTTACTGAAACATTGGCACATTCATACTGGCAAAAAGCCATTTACGTGCAAGTTGTACAACAAATCATTTTTGTGGTTATCGTCCCTCTGTGTACACCAACGCATTCACACAAGGGAGAAACCATTCACGTGTGAGGTCTGTGATAAATCATTCTCCCGGTCATCAGCCATCCGCAGACACCAACATGCTCATATAGGAGAGAAGCCGTTCACGTGTGAGGTGTGTGACAAATCATTCTTGGAGTCATTGGACCTGCGCAGACGCCAACTCATTCACACTGGGGAAAAGCCGTTCAAGTTGTGAACTCTGTTACAAATCCTTCTTGTGGTCATCAGCCCTGCTCAGACACCAATGCCTTCACACTGGGGAGAAACCATTTACTTGCGAGGCATGTGTCAAATCGTTCTCGAACTCATCATCCCTCTATGTACATCAAAGCAATCACACTGGGGAGAAACCATTCAAATGCACAGTCTGCAACAAATTATTTTCATGGTCATCAGCCCTCCAGGAGCACCAACACATTCACACAGGACACACACCATTCAGATGAGAGGTGTATGACAAATTGTCTGATTCATGGTCCCTGTGTGCACACAAATGTTCACACAGGAGAGAAACTATTCACATGCAAAGTGTGTGACAAATCATTCCCACGGTTATGAGCTCTCCATGTACACCAACGCATTTTCACACAGGTGAGAAACCATTCAGATGGGAAGTATGTGAGAGGGCTTTCACCCAATCCCCTGATCTCCTGAGGCATCAGAGGATCTACATAGGAGAAAAATCCTTCAGTGTGAGGTGTGTGATGGAGCCTTCACACAGGCATCGACACTCATGCAACACAAACGCATTCACACTGACGAGAAAACATGTGTGTGCAAGGTGTGTGACAAACCCTTTACAAGTCTTCACACCTCCTACCCCATCAGCAGGTTCACACTGGAGAAAAACTATTCATGTGTAGAGAATGTGGAAAATCATTCTCTGGGTCATCAGACCTCCATGTACACCAACGCATTCACACAGGCAAGAAACCATACAAATGTGAGATGTGTAACAAAACATTCTCAAACTCAACCACCTTCCATGTACACAGATACATTCACACAGGGGAGAAGCCATGTGAGGTGTGTGACAAATCATTCTTGCTGTCATCAAAACTTCTACTCTATCAAAGAATTCACATAGGGGAATAAACCTTCAAGGGAGAGGTTTACGATCACATTTCCATCTTCTACCCTCCAAGGATTCCAGAGAATTGACAAAGAAAGGAAATTCTTCAGATGTAATGTTTCTGACAAGGCTTTCTGTCACATGTTTGATCTTCTGAAGCAATAACAGCCAAAAAGTGGTGAGAAACCATTCAGGTGTGAACTGTGTAAAAAAGATTTGATGTAGTCAGTGTATCTCTTGGTCCATTAATGCACTCACGTAGTGTGAGTTTTGTAATAAAACCCCAGCACATTTATTGAACCTCCTAGAACATCAACAAACTCACTTCAGATATGAATCATTCCAGTGTGAAGGGTGCCAAGATTGTTTCCTCTAGTCCTCCACTCCCACCTGAATTTGGAGCCAGGTCACCCAATCCGGTGAACTGAGAGTTATCCGTCTTGTTTATCCTCCAATGCTCACACAGGAGCAGTTGTTATTCCAGTGAGCTGCCCGTCTCAAACCTCTCCAAACATCAGTTATTTCAAGAAGGCAAATTTAACCTTTGATCAGATTGTCAAACATCACCAAAAAAAAAAATCAATATGCAAAGAAGCTCCTGCTTGTGCACAGATGCTACTGTGTCTGCGAGGAGTTATTTTCCTTCCAAATCTGTGGGAGAAAATATGACATGACAAAGGCTAGCTTTGAAGACCTCATCTCGGAATGATGTGGAGGTGCCGGTGTTGGACTGGGGTGGACAAGGTCAAAAATCACACAACACCAGGTTATAGTCCAACAGGTTTATTTGAAGACACAATCTTTCAGAGTCTCGCTCCTTCTTCAGGTGTCAGTGAGAGAGGTGGCATCAGACACAGACTTAATAGGCAAAAGATCAAAGGGTCATAGAAGTGATGCGAATGCATTGAACAAACCTAAGATGGCTGTTAAATCTTTAATCAGTTAGAACGGATTAATGTGCAAATCCCAGAGGTTCTTTCAAGTCACTGCCCTGAGATAACTAAAGATTTTATCAATATAAAATCTCAGGTGACATCTCAGGTCAGACAATGCATTTTAGGTGCGAAGCCTTGTTTAGAAGCTGGCTGTGTATTAATTTGGAATCAAACTGGTTTTATTTCCAAAGTAGGAATTTATAAAATGCCAAATTGACTGTCTACAAATTGTGTGCTTTTTGAACAAAATAGAATGTATCTGCAATTACAAATCTGCAAATGCAAATTCACCCCATAGATTTTTGTGTGTGTGTGTGTGTGTGTGTGTGTGTGTGTGTGTGTGTTGGGGGGGTAGAGCACTGTGGCGAGGAGAGTGTGTATGTGTGTGTGTGCATGTGAGGGAGAGAAAGTGGGCGAGAGTGTGTGTGTGGTAGAGAGAGAGTGTGTGTGTGGTAGAGAGAGAGTGTGTGTGTGGTAGAGAGAGAGTGTGTGTGTGGTAGAGAGAGAGTGTGTGTGCGCATGAGAGTGTGTGTCTATGTGTGTGTGAGAGAGTGTATCGTGTGGTGGGGTCACCTGTAATACGACATGAACCCAAGACCCCAGTTGAGGCCGTCCTCATGGGTACCGAACTTGGCTATCAGCCTCTGCTCAGTGACGCTGCGTTGTTGTGTATCTCGAAGTCTGCCTTGGAGGATGTTTACCTGAAGATCCGAGGTCGAATATCCTTGACCACTGAAGTGCTCGCCCACTGGAAGGGAACATCCCTGTCTGGCAACTGTTGCACTGTGTCCATTCATCCATTGTCGTAGCATCTGCATAGTTTCCTCCATATACCATGCCTTGGAGCATTCCTGCCTGCAGCATTTGATAGATAACATTGGCTGAGCCACATGAGAATCTTCCGTGCACATGGTGGGTGGCATTCCCACATGTGATGGTAGTATCTATGTCAACGATCTGATATGTCTTGCAGAGGCTGCCATGACAAGGTTGTATGGCGTTGTGGTCGATGTCCTGAAGGCTGGGTAGTTTGCTGCAAACAATGGTCTGTTTAAGGTTTAGCGGTTGTTTGAAGGCGAGAAGTGGAGTCAAAGGGAAGATCTTGGTGAGGTGCTCATCATCACCAATAACATGTCGAATGCTGCAAAGAGCATGGCGTAATTTCTGCACTCCTAGGAAGTACTGGATGACGAAGGTACCCATGAGGGCGGCCTCAACGGGGATCCTGGGTTCATGTCGCACTACAAGTGACCCCACCACACTATACACTCTCAAACACACACACACTCGGTCACACAAACACACAGACCCTCTCTCATATATACACACTCTCTCACCCACACTCACTCATAGATCATAGAAGATCATAGATCATAGACTCCCTGCAGTGTGGAAACAGGCCCTTCGGCCCAAAAAGTCCACACTGAACCTCAGAGCATCCAACCCAGACTCATTCCCCTGTAACCCACCTAATCTACACATCCCTGAACACTATGAGCAACTTAGCATGGCCAATTCACCTAACCCGCACATCTTTGGACTGTGGGAGGAAACCGGAGCATCCGGAGGAAACACACACAGACACGGGGAGAATGTGCAAACGCCACACAGACAGTCACCTGAGGGTGGAATCGAACCCGGGTTGCTGGCGCTGTGAGGCAGCAGTGCTAACCACTGAGACACCATGCCGCCACTCACACACACTCTCTCTCTAGCATGCGTGCACACATACTCTCTGGCTCCCTCACACATGCGCGTGCATGCACACGCGCACACACACACATTTAAATCTATGAGATGAATTTGCATTTGTAGATTTGTAATTGCAGATATATTCTATTTTGTTCAAAAAGCACACAATTTGTAGATAGTCAATGTGGCATTTTATAAATTCCTACTTTGGAAATAAAACCAGTCTGATTCCAAATTAATACACAGCCAGATTCTAAACAAGGCTTCACACCTGAAATGCATTGTCTGACCTGAGATATCACCTCTGGTATATTGATAAAACCTTTAGTTATCTCAGGGCAGTGACTTGAAAGAAATTCTGGGATTTGCATATTAATCCTTTCTAACCAATTAAAGATTTAACAGCCATCTTAGGTTTGTTCAATGCATTCACATCAGTTCTATCACCCTTTGAGCTTTTGCTTATAAGTTCTGTGCCTAATGCCACCTCTCTCACTGACACCTGAAGAAGAAGCAAGACTGCCAAAGCTTGTGTCTTCAAATAAACCTGTTGGACTATAACTTGCTGTCATGTGATTTTTGATCTTGTTCATCTCAGAATACCAGCTTTGTTGTTTTTTATCGATTTGATTGCTTATTGAGGAGTTGTTAAATATGTTCTTTCCAACATTAATGGATGGAATTGATATCATTAAAATGTTAACAACTATCCAGCTTGAAACGGAATGGATGGATACTGTTTATTTTCCAGATAATTGAAGATACCGAAGGCTTTTGCCAATGGCTTCAAAATCCTGAACCTGTTTTCAGGACTTCGAAGTTCTGAACCTGTTTGCAGACTTTCAACACCACAATACAGTGATGGATGAAGAACTCTCAATCTATCAAGCCACTTATTAACAACACATGTCAGCATTGGAGAAATACTGTGAAAAACATTAAGTGTATTGAGTAGCAGGAATTTTAAAACCACTAAGCCTGGATACATTTAAGCATGTCGTGATTAATAAATGACATTAAGACTCACATGACCTGTCATTCTAAAACATTTAAAGGGAATAGTTACCTGAAAATTTAAAATGACTCTGGAAAATGATGAAATGCAAGTACAGTCTGAGTGGTTTTGGTACATACAAAAATTGTTAGTGACTGAAAGAGTAAACAGAATATTACATTTGGATAAATTTGCATAGAACTATAGCAAATGTCTAGAATGTGTTATCAAGTAACATTTTTTAAAAATGGACGTCATCCCAGAGAAAGAACAATCAAGTACATTTTTGAATCAAACAGAAATGTCTGACTTTTAAGATATTATAAAATTATGATATGTTACATTGGACTACCAATCTCTTCAGCACTCTGGAATTAGATAGGATGGTAACAGTTAAATTGCAAAATTCAATGAGAGGAAATAATTAAGGGTTGAGAGTGGTGACTGAAGACATGAAGACAAAAAAAATAGAATAATAGGTTGTAACAGCAATTGAGGTTAAAATTGGGTGGCACGGTGGCTCAGTGATTAGCACTGCTGCCTCACAGTGCCAGTGCCCTGGGTTTGATTCCAACCTCAGGTGACTTTCTGTGTGGAGTTTGCACGTTCTCCCCGTGTCTGCGTGGGTTTCTGCTGGGTGCTCCAGTTTACTTCCACAGCCCAAAGATGTGCAAGTTAGGTGGGTTGGCCATACGAAATTGCCCATAGTGTTCAGGGATGTGTAGGTTAGGTGCATTAGCCACAGGAAATGCAGGGTTACAGGGATAGAGTAGGGGAATGGCTCTCGATTGGATACTTTTCGGAGGTATGGACTTGTGGGGCCAAATGGCCTGTTTCCACACAGTGGGGATTCTATGAAATGAAAATGCATTTTAGTGTAAGGGAAGTTAAGATGAGAGCACTAAACTGATAAGTTTCTCTTAATGATGTTCGTGTTCTTGTCTTTCCTTCTAAGAGAACTGAATTTGATGACCCAGCCACTACCTGAGGCATTGACAGCATATATAGAGAGATAAATAAAAACTCAGATCTTTGATAAGATCAAACAAGGGTCAGAAATGTATGATATGATCTTGGGATACTGATGTAAGTGTACAAAAGTGATTGTTACCTTGGAATGCGTGGTGAAAAAATGTAGTAAACAATGGGTCTCAGACATGCACATGTACTTGACAAAAGGATTAGTGTGCCTGGAAGAGCACAAAAACATAGTGTAAACGATAAATCACTGACCCTTAATCCATAGAGAAGCTGACTTTAAAACAATGGAAGTAGTATTAGTGAAAGAGAGGTTAAAGAAAAACCAAACCAATAGGTGTGATTGGCTATTTTGTCAAAATGTTCCAGAAATGAAAGAATGTAGACTCTGGGAGGAGTGACAATGAGTTGAGTGAAGGGGCCCATCAGATGACATACAGATACCCTGGGGAGAAAAGGGGGAAATCATAAGCAGAAGGTAAAGCCTGATGAACACACTGTAAGTTGTTAGAGCTATATGTTTAATACCATGTGCATTGCAGCTCTGATACAATCATTCATAAAATTGGCAAGGAAGGAAGCATATTGAAGAAGTATCCTCAAGACGTATACAGTTGAAGAGAGTTAGGGAAATTTTAAGTATAATATTTTACTGTTATTGTGTGAGGTGATCTGCGGACTGAGAACTGGTGGATTAAAAATACTAATTAAGGAGCATGAATCTGAATTTATAAAATTCAGAGGTTACAGAGTTTGAATAAAATGCATTTTAGAACAAGTTATGCAAGTAGATTAACTGAAAGTAAACCAGATGTCGACAATTTGAGCAGATCGTTAAACTCGATCAGGGGAGAGCCAACTGCCGAGAGACAACACCTTTTATTTTGCTCTCAGAGAAAGCACCATCTAATTAAATCAGTACCACGGTATTTCTAGCTAAAAGTCCTCACAGAAGCAGTTACAGAGAAAAGCATCCCTGACAGCAGAATCAGCGGCAGAAAGACAATTGTGACGTGAGATCAACAGAAGAAAGGCTGGAGAAAGCAGAGTGTTCCAGAAGACCGTCTGTGCAAACTTGGAGAGATTAAGTTTTAATTTATTGTTGTCTTATTAATTGGGTTTATACAAGTAGGACTTGTGTTTATTTGAACAACATTCCAGTAGAATTTAGTTCAGTTAGGGAGTAGTTAGTAGTCTAAGGGGGAATTGTTCATTTCATTAGTAATTCTGTTAATTTGTTCATTGTTAGGATTAAATAAATAAATTGTTACTTGTAAAGTGGAGATCAGGGATTTTCTTTCTTTTAATCACTCTTTTAACAGATTATGATTGGAAAGGCAAGCTTCTCTGCGTGTTTTGGGGCTAATTATTAGAGGGGAACCTCTACTCCTGTCACAGCAGATTAGGGCTTGTGTTTTGGTTTAATTTTCAGGGGGGGTTTGGCCATTCCCTCTCTGTAACAGCAGTATCAGATGGCCACAGAGCTAAATGAGAGTCTGTGCTGCTCCCAATCTCTAAACATATTTGGGAAGTTAAAGTAGTAAACCCAACAGGACTGATGGTGAGGGAAGGGAATGAGCACGAGTGCATGAGAGAAGTCAATGAAGGAAACGGAGTATCTTGGGGTCTGTCTCTGGAGTTATTGGTAGATGGATCAAGCAATATTATAAGGGAACACCTCGCACTGCACAGGCAGTGGTAGATGTAGAAAGAAACATAATAGATTCCTGGGAAATATTCAGCCTAAGTAGACCAAAAGGATAAATAAGGAAGTGGGGAGGCCCTCTGACGAGTTAATTGTATGTGGGTTTTCCCCCTGCTTCAACCGCACCACGCGCTCTTCTCTCTCCAACAACACGAAGAGAGTAGAAATGCCCAGTCTTGACAGAAGGTCCAGTTAATGGAATAGTACTGTTAAACAAAGGAGAAATATTGTGTGATATTGTAAAGCATAAGCTTATAGCCGTCCTGTGCAATGTCTCAGGCATTCAAAGTTCAGAGTGTTGCTCAGTTCAGCTGAAAAAAAATGTATAATGTATTAACCAATGCAGTAGTGCATCAAGCTGCTGATGTCACGGAGCCAGTAAACCCAGGGAATACCATACTTTCACTAGACCCAAGATAACAGAGGTCAATACCAGGCCTTCCAACTTATTTCATTAGACATACAGAGTATGAATGAGCATGTGCAATGGTAAGATAAATTATGAAAGAATTATAGTGTGGGCTGAGGAAGCTCAGATGGAACAAGGGCTAGGTAAAAAGATAATGAAGATACAGCAAGGTGGGGTTTCTGCGACGGAGGCACATGCTAAGACAATCGATCACTTGATTGACAGAGAACATGAGGATCGCACATACAGATTCTGGATGGTGGGCTGGATAACCTTGGCCAGATCCAAGGGTGGAAGTATCCGATTGGATTGGTGGTACGCAGCTGGTGCAATTAATCCAATCTAAGAGGATACTAGACCACTGTAAGTTCTATCAAGAGTTTATAAATATGGATTCAATGACACAAAAGGGTGTATATTAGAAATCATCCATGCTCCCTCTCCCAACATATTACTCAATCAGGATGAAAAGGGGGACAGTAGTGTGTGTGAACCAGAGATGACATAGATTATATTGCCCCATCACACACCCTGGTTACTATCGCGCAAACTCAAATGAGACACATCAAACAATGAGAACTGGGAATGCTACCCGCTTCACAACCATCTCAAATTATGAGGAAATAGAACCAGCCCCTATTCCACATTTTTAAGTGAACAGCTTAGGGAAATTCAACAGATAGTCAAGCTTCACTAGCAGTCACAAAATAAACTAAACATTCTTGAACAGAATACAGAACAGGAATTTGAGGAACAGAAATGGTAAAGAAAAATATGAATGTTAATATACACCCCTGGATTAGAATAATATCTCACTTAGTAGTAGCAATAGAACAACTATTGGCACTATCAAAGGGACTGATGGCTTGTAGATACTGTCAATGGGCCTTAGTAAAGGAACAACAAAAAACCATGAAAGACATCCGTACATGGGCATATTGATTTGATTGATGCAAATGGATTCCTCAAATCAGGAGTGGCAAGCACAAATGAGGCGAGGAATATCAAGTGACAAATTGTGCGCAAAACTGGGTTTAAGAAGGCTGCCTTTACCGAGAGGGAAGATTGCTAGGGTTGTCCATGACTGAGCAGCACAAAATGACCACTGGCTACCCACGGTATTAGTAGCAGAACATGGCTGCCATTAGTTGGAGACCTTGGGAAAATATTTGATTAAATTAGTGTTCAAAAGTAGAAGAATATTGTAGACTCAAGATAACAGAACGGAGATAGAATATACAGCTGCAGTTGTTTACACATAAGCCACACTACATTTAATTAGTGAATCGATCTGTGACAATACTAATAGTAGGTTTAAGTTAAGATGCTTCAAATCATAGATATACATTCTGAAGTAGCTGAAGACTGACCTATATACAAAAAATATCACTAAAAGCATTAGAGGAGAACATTCAAATAAAATTACAAGAGCAAACCAGTCTCAGACAGTAAAAGAAGCCCCTGTATTATTACAGGGAGAATTTTATCACCTAAACTAGCAGAATTTAGAATTTGGGTTAAATGAACATTTTGCCTTAATGACTACCACCTGGTGGCTCTGACCTCAATAATCATGAAATGCTTCGAGAGGCTCATCATGGCCCACATCAACTCCAGTCTCCCAGCCTGGCTCAATCCCCTACAATTTGCCTACTAATGTAACAGTTCTACCATATCCGTAAGCCTGCACTCAGCCCTGGAACATCTGTTCATCAAAGACACCTACGTCAGACTTTTGCTCATTGACTACAGCTCCGCCTTCGACACCATTACCCCTCCAGACTGATCTCAAAACTCTGTGACCTTGGTCTCGGCTCTGCCCTCTGCAACAGGTTCCTCAGCTTTCTGACCCACAGGCTGCAATCAGTGAAGATAGGTAACTGCACCTCCTCTACTATAACACTCAAAACTGGAGCCCCCAAGAGTGCGTCCTCAGCCTCCTACTGTACTACCTTTTTACTTATGACTGTGTTGCCAAATTCTGAAAGAATGCCATTATAAGTTCGCTGACGACACCACCGTAGTGGGACAGATATCTAACAACTACAGAAGAGAGATAGAAGGCTTGGTGATGTGGTGCAATGAAAACAATCTGTCTCTCAATGTCGGCAAAACTAAAAAACTGATCATTGACTTCAGAAAGAAAGGAGAAGAACACACCCCCATCTACATCAGTGGAACTGAGGTTGAGAGGGTGAAGAGTATCAAGTTCCTCGGAGTGACGATATCCAACAATCCACCCTGGACTTCCTATGTAGATGCGACAGTCAAGAAGTCACAAGAACGACTCTTCTTCCTCAGGCGGCTCAGGAAATTTGGCATGTCCATAAGGTCCCTCACCAACTTCTACAGATGCACCATTGAAAGCATACTGTCTGGGTGCATAACGGCCTGGTGTGGCAACTGCTCTGCCCAGGACCATAAGAAACTACAGCCCAGACCATCACAGAAGCCAACTTTCTATCCAAGGACTCCATTTACATGGCTCGCTGCTGCGGAAAGGCTGCCAACATCATCAGAGACCCATCACATCCTGGTAATGATCTCCTACAATCTCTTCTGTCAAGCAGAAGATACAGAAGCCTGAATATATGCACAATCAGGTTCAGGAACAACTTCTTCCTGGCAGTTATCAAACTGATGAATGGACTCTGTAGCCTCAAATAACACTGATCCCACTAACATTGATCTCACCTAGGGCACGCCCTGTGCAGTGTAACCTGTATGCCTCGATCTAAATCTTTTTGATCTGTTCATTCTTTGCTTACTATGATCTGCCTGTACTGCTCATAAACAAAGCTTTTCAGTGTATTTCAGAACCTATCACAATAAATTAATCAATCAATCAACAGATTGTAAGACACCCAAGGATAAAGGTAGAGGTGTCTAGTAAACATGGTAAGAAAGAAACTGCTCCCAACTCGGTAGCTAAAGAATTCTAACAGTAGGTGTGACCATATAACTTTATTGGAATTAATATTACAAATTTATAACAACTAGTTAAAATTTGTATGTTCTGTAATGAGGTTAGTAAATTGTATAATGGAAGTGATAGGCAAGTATCCAATTAATTGGCAGTTAACATGGTGCAGCTGGCAAATATCTGGGAAGAAATGTACTTCAATACACTGTCCATTGTGAAAAGCCTCAAGAAGGGAGATAAAAAGAGCCTGGGAAACATCATGAGACCGTGGAAGGCCAAGGGATTGCTGCAAGCCTGTCCATCTCCAGTTGTGCAGTTATATGATTAGCTTAACTGGAAATGGATGTAATTAATAAATAATATGATTGGTTTGTAAATATTAAAGGCAGGATAAAACAAGTGTATAAAAATATATGACTTTCCTTTGTTTGGGTAAGAGCTGTATAGATTTTCAGAGCATTTCTTCCCACTGGTATGATCGCAATAAACTCTTTGACACCAGAAGTGAACTCTTGGGTGTGGTGTGAATCATTTGATCATTCCAACCCAGCAGCATATTGTCCTTTATTCTTTGAATTTCTCTTTGGGCATCAATCTTGAGCAGTTTAAATGCTGCCTTCTTGAGTTGTAACCTTGAATTATTCTGCTCAGCAATGAAGGGTCATCACTTTAGTTCCAGGTCACATATTTGAATGTCATGTTCACCGAGCCAGTTCTGGTGATGACAATACTGAAAACAATGGTCTGGGTACAGGCATTTAGTACAGCTGTTTGGAAACTGAGTTGGATGTCTGAAGATTTTCCAGGTTGGTCGTGAGCACAACTGGAATTCCGCTCTTTGGTCAGGCTATTATTCATCTGAGATATTGGTCTTCCTGGTGAACCTTTGGACCTTGTAATGTCTTGATATTGAGTGGATGTTCATCACTAACTTGAACAAGTCAATGATTTAACCAACAAGCCGCATTCCCCCGTGTGGATTTATTCATATAGATGTCAATTAGATGACTTAGATTTAGACCTTTCAGAGGAACCTGCAATTTGATTTTTGTTGCAGACAAAAATAAAATTTTGAGAACAACAATTGGAACTCTTCATTACATTCATCCATGCATCCAAATATTCAACTCCTAAATCATAAGACCAGAAGACATAGGAGCAGAAATTAGGTCATTTGGCCCATCGAGTCTGTTCTGCCATTCAATCATGGCTGATAAGTTCCTCAACCCCATTCTCCCGCTTTCTCCCCGTAACCCTTGATCCCCTTGATAATCAAGATCCTATCTATCTCAGTCTTAAATGTGCTCAATGACCTGGCCTCCACAGCCTTCTGTGGCAGTGAATTCTGTAGATTCACCACTCTCTGGCTGAAGAAGTTTCTCCTTATCTCCATTCTACTAGGTCTTCTCTTTACTCTAAGTCTGTGCCCTCGGCTCCTAGTCTCTCCTACAAATGAAAACATCGTCCCAACATCCACTCTGTCCAGGCCATTCAGTATTCTGTAAGTTTCAATTAGATCCCCCCTCATCCTTCTAAACTCCAATGAGAATAGACCCAGAGTCCTCAAACGTTCCTCATATGTTAAGCTTTCCATTCCTGGGACCATTCTCGTGAACCTCCTCTGAACCCACTCCAGGGCCAGTACATCCTTCCTGAGATATGGGGCCCAAAACTGCACACAATACTCCAAATGTGGCCTAACCAGAGTCTTATAAAGCCTCAGTAGTACATCCCTGCTTTTATATTCAAGTCCTCTCAAAATAAATGCCAACATTGCATTTGCCTTCCTGACTACTGACTCAACCTGCAAATTTACCTTGAGAGAATCCTGGACTAGAACTCCCAAGTCTCTTTGCACTTCAGACTTCTGAATTTTCTCCCCATTTAGAAAATAATCCATGCTTTTATTCTTCTTACCAAAGTGCATGACCTCACTTTCCCACGTTGTACTCCATCTGCCACTTCTTTGCCCATTCTCCTAACCTGTCCAAATCCTTCTGCAGCCTCCCCACCTCCTCAATACTACCTGTTCCTCTACCTATCATTGTATCGTCTGCAAACTTAGCCAGAATGCCCACAGTTCCTTCATCTAGATCATTAATGTATAAAGTGAAAAATTGTCCCCACGCTGAACCTTGCAGAACACCACTTGTCACCAGCTACCATCCTGAGAAAGACCCTCCGCTTTCTGCCAGACAGCCAATCTTCTATCCATGCTAGCATCTTGCCTCTGACACCATGGGCCCTTATCTTACTCAGCAGCCTCCTGTGTGGCACCTTGTCAAAGGCCTTCTTGAAGTCCAGGTAGATAACATCCATTGGCTCTCCTTGGTTTACCCTGCTCATTATTTCCTCAAAGAATTCTAGCAGATGTGTCAGGCATGACCTCCCCTTGATGAAACCATGCTGACGTTGCCCTATTTTATGATACACTTCCAAATATTCAGAATTCTCATCCTTTACAATGGACTCCAAAATCTTACCTACGACCAAGGTTAGGCTAATTGGCCTGTAATTTTCCGTCTTTTGCTTTACTCCCTTTTTAAACAGGGGTGTCACGTTAGCGATTTTCCAGTCCTCTGGGACACTCCCTGACTCTAGTGATTCTTGAAAGATCACCACTAATGCTTCCACCATCTCTTCAGCTATCTCCTTTAGAACTCATGGGGTGTAGTCCATCTGGTCCAGGACATTTATCCACCTTCAGGCCAATAAGTTTTACTAGCACCATTTCCTTGGTAATGGCCACCATACTCAGCTCTGCCCCCTGACTCTCTTGAATTTTTGGGAGATTACTCGTGTCTTCCACCGTGAAGACTGACGCGAAGTAATTATTCAGTTCCTCAGCCATTTCCTTGTTCCCCACTACTATCTCTCCACCATCATTTTCCAATGTCCACTTTTGCCTCTCTTTTGCCCTTTATATATCTAAAGAAACTCTTACAGTCTTCATTTATATCACTGGCTAGCTTACCCTCATATTTAATCTTCTCCCTCCTTATTTCTTTTTTTGTTGCCTCTGTTGGTCTTTGTAAGCTTCCCAGTCCTCTGGTTTCCCACTGCCCTTCACCACATTATATGCTTTCTCTTTTGCTTTTATGCTATCCCTGACTTCCTTAGTCAGCCATGGTTGCCTCATTCTCCCTGTACCATGCTTCTTTTCCCTAGGAATGAATTTTTGCTGTCTCCTGAATTACTCCCAGAAACTCCTGCCATTGCTGTTCCACTGTCTTTCCTGCTCGGCTCCTCTTCCAGTCAATTCTGCCCAGCTCCTCCCTCATACCTCTGTAGTCACCTTTATTCAGCTGTAATACTGTTACCTGATTCTATCTTCTCCCTCTCAAATTGCAGAGTAAATTCTAACATCTTATGATCACTGCCTCCTAAGGATTCCTTCACCTTAAGCTCTCTTGTCAAGTCTGCCTCATTGCACAACACTAAATCCAGTATTGCCTGTTCCTTTGTGGGCTCCACGACAAGCTGCTCCAAAAAGCCATCTTGTAAGACATTCCAAAAACTCCCTTTCTTGCAATTCACTACTAACATGATTTTCCCAGTCCACCTGCATATTGAAATCCCCCATGATAACTGTGACTTTGCCTTTCTTACACACCTTTTCTATCTCCTGGAATATCTTGCACCCCTGCTCCTGACTACGGTTTGGACTGACCAACTCCAACTATGGTTCTTTTACCTTTGCGGTTCCTCAATTCTACCCACACAGATTCTACACCATCTGACCCAACTTTGTTTCTTCCTATTAATTTAATTTCATTTCTTACTAATAAGGCAACCCCACCCCCTCGGCCCACCTGCCTAGCTTTTCGATAGGATGTATATCCTTGAATATTCGTGAGGCTTTGTATCTTGTGCTCCAGTGATGTGGATGTTCAAGAAGCTACATCACATCCTGCAATTACTTTTTGATATGACAGTAACTGTCTTGAGTGGGAGACCTGAAACTGAAGCTTCAAAATCCAGACCAGCGTCAAACAGGGCTGTGTGATCACCCCATTCAAAATTTACCTGACAGTGGCTACTGACCTCAAAAATCAACTGCCCCGTGGTGTCAGTATTAAAAACCATTGATGTGAAATTCATTTACTTGAGCCACCTCTGTGCCAAAACTGAACTGATTATCACATGTACACATGATGTACAATCTTCAGATGACTGCAGTGTAACTCCACGTCAACAAAAATTCCAGAGCATAGAAACAATTACACTCCTGTGTTGCAGCGAGACCTGAACTGTATGTGTCACTGATACATAAGACTACACTGGTTAACAAAGTCAATATTTGCAACCATTTTGTTGATTGTGATAACATTGGCTGAGAACAGCCATTTAAAGGAGAATCATCATCTGACCACCACCAGGAGAGAGACATCTTGAACAAAAATTGCTCACAGCAGCAACAAAGGAAGGTATCCAGAAAAATCCAATTAAAGGACTGCTATACTAAACCAGACTACCAACCACCACAGCCTGCAATGCCATAAAAATGAAACAACGGAGAGTGTGTTCCCTCTCAGGACCTATTCTGTTTACTGAATCCACTTGTGGGAACAACTTGCAACTATTTCACTACAAAAGCCATCACAAGTAGTGAATTTGATTTCAAACCCTTTTTCAAAGTCGGAAATCACATGACACCGGGTTATAATCCAACAGGTTTATTTGAAATCACAAGCTTTCAAAGTCACTTCACCTGATGAAGGAGCAGTACTTTGAATGCTTGTGATTTCGAAAGAACCTGATAGACTATAACGTGGTGTTGTGTGACTTCTGACTTTGTCCACCCTAGTCCAACACCAGCACCTCCACATCACAGCCTTTTATTTTAGGAAGAGAAACCTTTGCAATCTATGCTTGCAACAATATTGGAGAATTATCACATTTTCATCCTCAGACACAACTTTCATCATTGCGTATTATTTTAGCTCAACTGTAATTTTACTTAAATAATAGTTAGCAATAATTGTGTAATAAAACTGATTTTATCTTGTTTAAAATATAAGCTATGCTGCTGGTTATTTTTAAATTGAAGCACTTGTAATTGAACATAAGAGCTTATACAAATTGTTAGTTCCCTCTGAAGAAATTTCTTGTATATGGTTGTTACATTTTGGTGTAGGCCAAATGTTGTGTTGTTGTTGTTTGTCTGCTGTTTTATTCATCTTATGTATAGGTTTATTAATAACAATAAATTATTTTTTATCTTAACCCAAATTACCTTATTTGGCAGCATTGTGAGTTCTGGTTCACTGTCACTTGTGGACTGGAATATTTTCTCCTTTGGTTTACAATTTCCAGTTCACAGGGAGCATAATATTTCCCTAAGAAAGAAAGACTTACATTTATATATCACCTTTCATTATCCCGGAACATCCAAAAGCGTTTTTTTTTTAAAACAGCCTATGAAGCAGTTTTGAAGTATAGTCACTATTGTAATGCAGTAAATGTCATAACTGCACACAGTTGCTGCATTGAGACTTAAAAACACAACCTTCTGACTCAGAGATGAAAGTGCTAGTTAAGACACAAATGACAAAAAAAAGACACAGCTGACAATAACATAATTTTGTATTGCATTAGATTTAGTTTCTAAGGGGTTACATTCTAAGGCTATCTACAAATTTTTTAAACTCCTTTCATAATCTTGCTATTCCCAATCTTGGTAACGTCTTTCAGCCCTAGGTCTTGTAATGGAGTGTGTAGGCTTACAGTTTGCAATCACTAATTTTTGCAATTTTATGTTTTTGCATTTTATTTCCATTTTGCACTTGTTTTTCATAGAAAGTGTTTTGAATTGGTATTAAAACTTAAAAATAGTTACTGAAAAATAGACATTAATTTAAGACTGTGGTTATGCTTTTAGTAATAAGTGATCAATATTAATATCATTAACTATGGACCTATTTTCTTCACAACCCCAAGAACTGTTTCATTTTGTTTTCAAGCGGTTTGCAACATTGTTTATTGTTTTTCTCTCCTTGCTAGATCTGTTAATAGAAAGTTGTCTTCTATTGTTTTATCAAGAGTTAGTTCTTTCTAGTTCAACGACCCTTGAACTACAAACCAGAGCAATGAATAACCTTGCACATGGTGTGGAAACAGGCAAACAAGTTTGACTGGTGAACAGCACAACCTGTTTGATAGCAGGTTGTTGTATAAACAGCCTTAGTCCTGCACTGTGTACGTCTCATGGTGCCTGTGAGAATTTGACAAGGGCTCGTAGTTGTCAGATTCTTGTTTCAGTTAAGTCTAGGAGGAGCCCAGGACTTAAAGGCGCACAGCATCCAGCATTTGTTGTGGCAGCAAGGGTGAACTAGTCAACTGCTGAAGGCTACAGAAGGCGGAACATTAATAGATGACTGATCTAGAGATCTGATGAATGTACCAAAAGGAAATTACATTTGGGAGTTGTCTAGAACACATCAAATTGAATATGCTGTTTGTGCTATACTACATGTTTTCTTTCTTCATTTTTAATTGTTAATTTAATAAAATTGTTGTTTTCACATTTCATTTGGCATGAGTCACCTATTGTTATTACATTCAGAGGATGTGTCCGAACCAGAGTAAAATGCAGGAAAGGACTCTCAGCAGATAAGTGTCAGGCATGATTCTCAATGCTTTGGTCCCAGAGTGGAACTTAAGGTTGTGGTTTTAAGTACAAATCCAGATGGATTGCTCCATGAACATGGATTAAGGCTGTTGTCAGGGTCACACAAAGAGGTTGAGAGGCCCTGAAGAAGGGTCACTGAACTCAAAATGTTAACTCTCTTCTCTCCACAAATGTTGCCAAACCTGCTGAATTTCTCCAGTAATTTGTTATTGTTGGTTACAACCGCCAGACAGGCAGCAGTAAAGGCATATAATTAAGAGCTGAATAAAAACCAAAGGAACTGCGGATGGTGGAATTCAAAATCAAAAGCAGAAATTGCTGGAAAAGCTCAGCAGGTCTGGCAGCATCTGTGCAGAAAAATCAGAATTAACATTAACTCTGATCTCCCTTCACAGATGCTGCCAGACCTGCTGGACTTTTTCAGCAATGTCTATTTTTGCTTCCAGTTAAGACCTGATGCATACACAAGACACTTTTTTCATACCCATACCACCCCCCATCACAAATTTAAAAGGGGAAGTTGGAGAGTGAAAGGTAGACAAGTATTTAGGGTAAAGAGTGGATAGCTGGGAATTCCCAAGATCTCTTCCTCAGATCAGAAAAGAAAATATTGAGGATAGAAATGAAAATCAATGGCCTAAGTGTTTCCAATGTAATGCTGGAATTTGCAAGGTAGGCTAGTGGGACTAATTGGGGTTTGTGATGAGTCCAAAAAAGAAACTCGATAGGAGGATAACACAGATCAAACTGTCACTTTAACTACAACTAACAGACCAGAGGTAAAACACTGCTGTGGGTGCAAGGAAGTGAACAGAATGTCTAAAAGATATAAAGGGTTTTTGTCTAAAGGGAAGATAACCCATTTTTTAATCAAATGATGAAGCTAAGCCCATAACTATATTGAGTGATTGTAGGGGCTATTCAAATTATTTTGATGGAGAAGGATTTGGTTTTTCAAGAGAATTCAATGAAAGCCCAAGTGTCAGTAAACAAGATAAGTGAAGATTATATCTTGGTTGCATTGAACAAAAGTCCAATTGAATTTTGACTTATTATCTGAACCACTGGATATCAGGGTAGTTAAGAGATTACCAATGGATGGAATTACTTACTCCTGGGGAATGGTTTGACAGGAACGAAGGTTATAGCTTTGCCTATAATCATGGAAACAGTTGCAGGAACAGATCCCAGGTACTTTTCCATCATATATAGTAACCAGACCAATGGTGATACAAACACATCACCAGAGGTCACAGTAACACTACACTGCAACCAGATGTCAGGGTAGTTGAAACTTCAATGAAAAATGAGGATAATTAAGAAGTGTGTCTTCATGAATTGAGGCTCACAGAACAGTCCCAGAGTTAAGTAAGTTGACACAGACAGCTCACATTGAAGCTGAGATTATATGAGTTCCAGGTTATTATCATATTGAAAACAGTTCTGATGGGGAACTCGAAGCATCCACACAGACTTGCAGATGAAGAATGGATGGTTGTTCATCAAATCAGGCGTTGCCAGATATTGTAAGGAGATATTGCTAGTAGCACTTTAAGTTCCTATGAAGTTCCTAGTTATAGCACATAAATATGCAGAAAACATGGGCATCAAAAAAAAGCTACTTTTCATGACCAAGACTTCATAAAGATCTAGTGCAGTTTTGTAGAACATGTCAGACATGCAAGGAGGTAGGAAATTTTGATAAGTGACTAGATCAGCGCTTTAGATACTGATTCCAGTTTCTGAAGAACCAGTTAGTAGATTGTGTAGGAGCATTAACCGAAAACAGGGTGTCAGTGCACAAGAGAAGCAAAGTGAACTGGGGCTAAATGGTGGCAGTTCAGCTTCTCAGTAAAAGCCTGAGGGACAAAGCCCTGATCAAACTCAGTCAGAGTGGCAGCAAAGCAAACCTGGGGGTGAACAGCAGCCGTGGTGCCTGTTAATAAAAACTTGAGGGGCAAGGCCCAGATTGAACTCAGTCGGAGCATCAGTTAATCCCCAAAAGAATTTGAAATGGCTGACAAAAGCAATGTCTTCACAAAAGCAAAAGTTAATTTGTAGGTACTGGTCACCTCCTTATTCTATTTCCAAATTTTAACATTGTATACACATTGGTAGTAGTAACGCTAATAAGATAAAAGAATCAACATAATTAAGTGAATAATATAACTAAATAATTAAAACTCGTTAAGACTAGCAGTATGGGTGGCGTACCAAAGCTGCAGCGTGTAGGAGCTCAAGGATAGCGTTGCAATCCAGGACAAACACAGAACAACATAGCACAGAGATAGTAAGAACTGCCGATGCTGGAGTCAAAGATAACACAGTGTGAGGCTGGAGGAACACAGCAGGCCAGGCAGCATCAGAGGGGCAGGAAAGTTGACGTTTCTTCCGAAGAAGGGTGCTGACACAGAACGTCAACTTTCCTGCTCTTCTGATGCTACCTGGCCTGCCGTGTTCCTCCAGCCACACAATGTTACAATATAGCATAGGAACAGGTCCTTCAGCCCACCATGTCAATACTGACCATGATACCATTCTAAACTAATCCCATCAAACAAGATCCTTGTCTGTTCAAAATAAAAACCAAAAGAACTGCGGATGCTGTAAATCAGGAATAAAAACAAAGTTGCTGGAAATGCTCAGCAGGTCTGGCAGCATCTGTGAAGGAGAAAACAAAGTTAACGTTTTGGGTCCGGTGACCCTTCCTCAGAACTGATGGTGGCTGGGAAAACGTCAGTTTATATGCAGAAAATAGGGAGGTGGGTGGGGTAAGGAGTAAACGAGAGAATAGAGCCCAAAGAGAGAGAAAGACACATGGACATACAAAAGAGTTGCTAATGATCAGGCTGGGAGGGTGAATAATTGTTAATGGGGACTGTTAGGGACTAACAACAAGGGGTGTGTAATGGCAGGCTACGTGGTAACAAAGCCTAGTGTGTGGGGCAGGGGGGCTGGGACATGGGAGAGTTTAGGCCCTAAAATTATTGAACTCAATATTGAGTCCGGAGGGCTGTAGGGTCCCCAAGCGGAAAATGAGGTGTTGTTCCTCCAGCTTGCATTGGGCTTCACTGGAACACTGTAGCAAGCCAGAGACAGAGATGTTGGCCAGGGAGCAGGGTGGTGCATTGAAGTTGCAGGCAACGGGTAGTTCAGGGACCCTGGACTACTCGTTGCCTGCCACTTCAATGCACCACCCACCTCCCTATTTTCTGCATATAAACTGACGTTTTCCCAGCCACCATCAGTTCTGAGGTAGGGTCACCGGACCCGAAACGTTAACTCTGTTTTCTCCTTCACAGATGCTGACAGACCTGCTGAGCTTTTCCAGCAACTTTGTTTTTGTTCCTTGTCTGTTCATATGTCTGCCAAAATGCCTCTTAAACATTGCTTTACGTGCTTCTACAACCTCCCCTGGCAGCACATTCCAGGCATCTACCAACCAGTGTAAAAATAAACATCTCCTAAACCTATGCCCACTAGTATTTGATATTCCCACCCGGGGTAAGAGACTCCGACTGTCCAAGCCTCCCATAATTTTATGTACTTCTATCAGATCGCCCCTCAGCATCTCTGTGGTAAATGACTGACGTTTCAACTGAGGGTTTATGTGTTGTTTTTACTTCAGATTTCCGGGATCGACAGCGTTTTGCTTTTTGATTAGAAAAGGAAATACTGGAGCAAAAGTTTGGTACCAAGTTTCTTCCAACGAGAATAAGCGTTGTATTCGGCTCTCTGACGAGTTTAGGAGAAACCAAACTTGCGAGTTATCACGAGACAACAAGGTGCAGGGCTGGATGAACACAGCAGGCCAAGCAGCATCATAGGAGCAGACTCTTGCTTTCAGGCATCAATTTTCCTCGAGCGTTGTCGTATGACGGTCCACGAATTCACTTCTCTAAAGGAAAAGTTCTGGCCTTGAGCACTCAATTTTCTCGGAATTTACGAGTTGAAGGCTGAACGAAAATAATCTGGATTCTTTGTGCAGCAAATATTTAATGAACCCATGGGACCAGGGAGTGTGCCGGTTGATCAAGAGATCCACGTAATCAACGTAAAAACACACATAAGTAATAGAATAGTAACATGGGAGGGGTAATACAGAGCAGTTATACTTGCACCTAAATTTACTTTACTCCCATAAATCAGTGAAATAACAATACAATTTTGCCTTAAATAAAATTTACAGGCAGAGTGCCTCTCGCTTCCACCATCAACTGACTAGTCGGAGATTGAAATATTACAGTAAACTCTCGGTATTTCAGGCATATAATTCTTTTTGTACGCCGGTTAAAACAAAGTTTGCTGTACCCAGGAGGCAGTCACACCTCTTCGGACAAGGTATTCCCGATACGGTGAGGAACAGGAAGGTGTGACTACGAGTTAGGCAGGAAGAGGGACCCAAAGGATAGGCAGATGGATTAATGGATACCAAGGAGAGGATTGGAGCAGTTCCCCTTGATCTTATTGAATGGCGGAGCAGGGCTGGAGTGCTCTACTCTTGTCCCTCATATCTTTACAATGGTGTGGGGAAAACAACCGGATTCCCAGAGGCTTATTCCTTTTATTGTAAATGGACAATTACAGCTCGGGTAGAAGTGGAAACGTTAACTCCGTTTTCTGAAGACAATAAAGACTGCAGATGGTGGGAGGCAGAGTCTATAGGTTGAGGCTGGAAAAGCTGAGCAGGTCAGACAGGGCCCGAGGAGCAAGAAAGTCAACGTTTAGAACCGAAAGTCGTCCTGAACTTTTACTTTCTACTCGTTATGAACAACCGACCGATAGACACTCTTGACAGGGTGCTAGCGTCGCGTGGTGAAGTTTACCACGAAATCACTGAGCTGTCTGGGTGTGAAATGACTGAAAAAGTCGACATCCCGCAAACGCTTTGGGGAGGCACCATCGGACACTCTTTGGGGATCATCCACAGAACAGGTACAGAGGTTTAAGATTTCTTACAATTGATGGCCGGAGATTCCTCAAAAGTATTCACTGGGTGGTTTAGTCTGTCTCATCGATCGCCGGGAGATTATACATTCATTTTGTAAAAAGGACTCAGCGACGGTTGAGATACGGCGTTTAAATCTGGGAGCGCGAGCCCCAACCGGGGAAGAGGGCACTTAGCACGTGGGCGGTGTAGGTGCGCGCCTCGAGGTTTAAGGCGGGGGGGGGGGGGTGCGGGTGTAGGGGGCGGTGTTGACACTACAACCGGCTGCGCGCCCGCCTCCGGCAACTGCACGCGAGTGCGCGCGCACAAAAGCGCATTCGTGTGGAACGCGCCCAAAGCGGACACCTGAACCATTGGTGGCGGTGGCTGGTGAGGCAGTTTAGTGAACCCATTGGGATCGTTGACATCGACTGAATTTCACAAAGGACTATTATTTTGGGAAACGGAGTCACTGCCGTTCAGCACCGCCCTTTAGCCAACCCACTTCCTCCATCGTTAGGGGCTACAGCTGGACAGAGCCGGTGAGACCGCCTGTTCGCAGCGCCTGCGCAACAATGGTGCTGCCCTCAACGGATCCGCCTCACTGTGATTGGTGAAAAGGATGATGGATGCGCGTGCTTTTGCGGGAAAGGCCACTTAATTGGCTGAGAGGGATGTCAATCAGAGATCCTCACCTCCGCACATTCATTTCCGCTCGGGGGTTGAAGATCCAGTAAGGAGATGGTGAGTGTAGTTGTAGGATTGTACAAGGGTGGTTGGGTGAAAGGTGGCCGTTCAATCTGTCTGATCTCTGCAGGGGCAATTCAGGTAGTCCCATCCTCTCGGCTTTTTTATCTTGGTCCATGCTGGTTGGGGTGTGTGTTTATAATATTCACCGGATTAGTAATCCATACTCTGAGCCATATAGTTGTACAGCATAGGAACAGACCCTGAGTCCAGGGATTCAAATCGCACTGTGGCAGTTAAAGATCTTGAAGTCAATATAACTCTGCTATGGAACGATGGCCTATTGAAACATTGTCGTAAAAGCCGAAACAATTACGGAATAGTGTAAACTGAGGCAAAGATAGAAGTTGCTGGAAAAGCTCAGCAGGTCTGGCAGCATCTGTGAAGAAAAACCAGAGTTAACGCTTCGGATCTGGTGACCCTTCAACAAAACTGATGGTAGCTTCATTTCTGAAGATGGGTCTAGGCCCGAAACATCAGCCTTCCTGCTCCTCTAATGCTGCTTGGCCTGCTGTGTTCATCCAGCTCTACACCTTGTTATCTCGTAATGAGGAAAATGTTGGTTTATGTGCAGAAGATAGGGTGGGGGAAGGGGTAAGGCGTAAACGATAGCTGGGGATAGAGCCCAAAGAGAGTGAGAGGAACAGTTGGACAGACACAGGAGTTGATAACGATCTGGCTAAGAGGGTAATTATTTGTTAATGGGGACTAACTATACGTAGTGTGTAATGGCAGACAGTGATAACAAGGCCTGGTGTGTCGGTGTTGGGGTGAGGACATGGGACAGGCTCTAATATTATTGAACTATATATGGAGTTTGGAGGGCAGCAGGGTCCCCAAGTGGAAAGTGAGGCAGTGTTCTTCCAACTTTTGCTGAGCTTTGCTGGAACATGGCAGCAAGCCTGACACAGATGTTGGCTAGAGAACAGGGTGGTGTTAAAGTGGCAGGCAACTGGAAGTTCAGGGTCTTTTTTTTGCAGGCAGAACGTAGATGTTCTGTGAAACAGTCACACAGTCTATGCTTTGCTCTCCCAATGTAGAGGAGACCACATTGTAAGTAGTGAATGCAGGAGACTAAATTGTGGGAAGTGCAGGTAAAGTGCTGCTTCATCTGGAAGGTATGTTTGGGCCTTTGGATACTGGGGGCGGAGGACGTAAACGGGCAGATGTTACACCTTTTGGCGGTTAAAGGGGAAGGTGCTGTGGGGTGTATTGGGAGTGAAGGAAGAATGGACCAGGAGAGAACGGCCCCGGTTATGCCTGGCTCTTCGTGGGGTATGTGGAGCATTCCTTGTTCCAGTCCTGGCCCTCACACACAACTCTTTCTCTCATATATTGATGATATCATTGGTGCTGCTTCCCGCTCTTTTCCGGAATTGGAAAAGTTCATCAATTTCACTTCCAGTTTCCACCTGGCCTGTCTCTGAGTCCTACCTTCCCTTCATCAACATCTCTGATTCCACTTCTGGGGAATAGACTGGCAACTAACATTCCACTGACTCCCTCAGCTACCTGGACAATACACCCTCACACCCTGCTTCCTGTAAAGACTATGTTCCGTTCTCTGAAGATTTTCTGAAGAAGGGTCTAGGCCTAAAACATCAGCTTTCCTGCTCCTCTGCTGCTCGGCCTGCTGTGTTCATCCAGCTCTACACCTTGTTATCTCAGATTCTCCAACATCTGCAGCTCCTACTATCTCTTCCATTCTCTCAGTTCCTCCGTCTCTGTCGCATATGTTCAGATGAGGCCAGTTTCGACAAGGGAGCCTCAAATGTCCACCTTCTTCCACAACTGAAGATTCCCCAGCACCATTGTCAACTGGGTCCAACCCATCTCCCATACATTCACCCTCATCCCCTCTCTTCCCTCCCACAACAACAATAGGTTCCCCTTGTCCTTGCCTACCATTCCACCAGTTTCCACATCCAGAAGATCATCGAGCGCCGATGCTGCCTCCACCAGACACAAGCTCCACTCCCCTCCCTTGTCCGCCTTCTGCAGGGACCGTGCCCTTTGTCGACTCTTCCTTTACTCCCCAACTCACCCCCCCGGCACCTTCCCCTGCAACAGCTGAAAGTGTAACATCTGCCCACTTACGTCCTCCGCCCCCAGTATCCAAAGGCCCAAACATACCTTCCAGGTGAAGCAGCACTTTACCTGCACTTCCCACAATGTAGTCTCCTGCATTCACTGCTTACAATGTGGTCTCCTCTACACTGGGAGATCAAACATTAGACTGTGTGATCACTTTGCAGAGCACCTATGTTCTGCCTGCAAAAAAGACCCTGAGCTTCCAGTTGCCTACCACTTTAATACACAGAGATGGGTAGCATCTCTGTCTCGGGCTTGCTGCAGTGTTCCAGCGAAGCTCAGTGCAATTTGGAAGAAAAACACTTCATTTTCTGCTTGGGGACCTAGCTCGCTCCAGACTCTCTCGAATTCAATAATTTTAGGGCCTGAACTCTCCCATGTCCTAACCCCCCTACCCCAAACACCAGGCATTGTTATCACACTACCTATTGTTAGTCACCAACAGCCCCCATTTACAGCTATTCACCCTCCTAGCCAGATCGTTATCAACTCCTTTGTCCAACCGTTCTTCTCTTTCATTGGGCTCTAACCCCACCTATCATTTACTCCTTACCCCCTCCCCCCACCCTTTCTTCTGCATACAAACCAACATTATCCTAGCTATCATCAGTTCTGAGGAAGGGTCACCAGACCTGAAATGGTAACTTGATTTTTCTTCAGACCTGCTGAGCTTTTCCAGGTACTTCTGTTACTGTTGTAAAAGCACCTGGCTTACCTAATGCCAAATAGGGAAGGAAATCTTGACTTCCTTACCTGGACTAACCTGTGAGACTCCAAATCGCTAGCAATGTAGTTGATTTTTAATTGCCCTCCGTTTGGGTAGTTAGGGGTTGGTAATAAATGCTGGCCCAATTAACAGGAGCCTCTCAATGAAGGGAAAAAACCCTGCAGTGGTTCCATTAGACAACCCCAGTTCAAGGAGCTAACTAATTAAAGAATCAGAGTCATACAGCACAGGAAATGGATCGTTTTGTCCAACTCATCTGTGCTGACTAAATCGATCTAGTCCCATTTGCTAACATTTGGCCCATATCCCTCTTAAACCCTATTCGTGTACCCGTCCAGTTGCCTTTTAAATGTTGTAGTTGTACCTGCCTTCACCACTTCCTCTTGCAGCTCGTTGTACACATGCACCACCATCTGTATGAAAAAGTTGCCCTTGAGGCCTCTTAAATCTTTCCCCTCTTATCTTAAACTTCTGCCTCTAGTTTTGGACTCCCCTACACTGGGGATAAGGATCTTGGCTATTTGCTGTGTCTAAGCTCCTCATGATTTTATAAACGTCTAACGTCATCCCCCATCCTCCAACACTCCAGAGAAAAATAATCCCAGCCTATTCAGACTTTCCCTATAGCTCAAACCCTCCAACCTCAACAACATCTTTAAATTTCTTCTGAACTCTTTCAAGTTTCACAACACCTTTCCTGTAGCAGTATTCTAAAAGTAGCCGCCTCAGTGTCCTGAGTCACGTGTGCTAAATACCGCCATCACCACCCTGTCTACCTGTGACGCCATTCTGAAGGATCTATGCAGCTGTACCCCTAGGTCTCTTTGTTCAGCAACACATCCCAGAGCCTGACCATTAACTCTATTGCTCCATGTCTCTTTTGTTCAGATGCGTTACCACCGTACTTTTGTGGTAACCTATTTGCAGTCAGCCTCTGAAAACGACATTGTTGATTTAAAGTCATTCTACTACCCTGCTAGCTAAACCAATATAATTAGATACCCTCAAGGCAAGTTCGCAGTTTTTAAATAAAAATGCAATAATCTTCATGAGGAAAATGTCTCAATTCTGCTGTATCAGCCCAGAAGGGAATCCTGAGTGTGCAACCTGAAGATACCTGAATGGTTTCCTTCATAGTGAGAAACCGCAACAAGATCTCCCTGTGGTTGTAAACAACTGATTTTCAGGTCAATGGATCTCATAACAAAAACTATAAACTGAAAAGCTAATTCGAGCCATGGGTCCATACGTCTAGTTTCTGTAGTCTTCCATCTGCATCTGCTATCTCATTGGACAGTTCTCTCAGAAAAGCATCACCTTGCAATCTTTCTACAGATTTTATCCTACAATATCCATCCACAATGGTACAAATGTGTTCTCAGTTTACTTCCCTAGTAATGACTAATATGGTGTAGTACTCATTCTTCAGTTAGGAGGGAAGTGATTAGTTTTTCTTGAACTTGTTTGATCTAAGGCCATGGCACTCATGGAGTCAATATTGAAGACCTCCTCAGCTGCCTGTAGGATAGGACATTCCCAGGCATGGTGACAGAGAAGTCTGGGATTTTCCCAGATTGATACAATTCAGGAAGTCTCCCTGTTACTTGACCAGTCTGTGGGTTGCTCTCCTGACTTGGGAACTCGGACCTTGGTAAGAGAAACTTTACAGATTTCATTGGGTTGAGATCACCTTCACAATTCTGGCATTGTGTCAGAATAAAAAGAAGATCTCTCTGATAACCCCCTTTATTGTTGCATTTTGTAGTGATTGTTTATCATCGTTTGCTCGGCCACTTCAGAAGACAGTCAGTTTGCCATGTTGTATGGAGTAGTCACGTAGACTAGTGTCACAGTTTTCCTTCCCTGATGGATAATATTTGGAATTCTAGGATAGTTTGAAAGTTTTGATGTCATTTTGATTTTATTCCAGAAATTCCAAAAACTTCAAATTTAGATTCACAATATGGAGTGGTTGAGGCAAATAGCTTTTAATGGAAATTAGATAAACACATGAATGAGAAATTAGGAGGGAAATCTCAGTTTACTGAGATGTAGAGGGGTGAGAGAATGTTCATTATGAAACGTAAACACCAGCATTACCTATTTCGCACAATAATTCTATTTGTAAAGCTTTCCATGGTTGAATTTGAACTCCCAATCTCTGAATGGTTTATTCAGTGCCATAGAATTCCACTATCATACCAGCAGATGCAGTTATTAAAGTTTTTTTTTTTTTAATGCTTGCTTTCTTTATAGATTTTACCAGAAGGCCTTGGCTTTTCCGAAAAGCCTGGTTTTGGAGATTGGTAGTTTTGCCCAGTGCTGTGGCTAATAGACTACACATCCCAAACTCTGCTTAGTGATTTCCCAGATTAAACCAGAAACCTTCAATCAGGTACCCTGAAATAACATTTTCCTCAGCTTCTAGCACCCTCTGCTCAGTGAGTTTTTTTTCTTCAAATAATTTTGGGAAATAAGAGGAGGATTTTCAACGTATTGAATCAAGATTTCACCTGAGTGTCACTTTGTTAAGTACATTTCCTAAAGGTCAAGGCTCGAGCTTTTCATGAATTGAAAGCCAGTTAACGCTATGCCCACTCTCTTTCCATTGCCCTCACTGTGCTTGGGAAGATGTTGGGTGAGGAAAGAAAGTAGCCACATTGTCTATTCCTGGTCCCTATTCAGTGTCCCTGCTGGAAACAGTTCCCTCACAAGTGAGGGAAAAGAAAGGCCTTGTATCTGATTCCTCCACACAGGGAATTAGCGAACTGTTCCACAGTGAGTGCCAGTCTCTAACTGAGAGTCAGCCACTTCAGCAAAGAAGGAGACGGAGATGGATAAATCATGTTTCCTTTTCTTGTTTTACAGAAGGATTGCACTGTACTACTCCAGAGAATACAAAGAGGATAGATACCGCAGAGATCCTGACCATCATCCAAGGAACAGCTGCACAAAAGTGGGAAGACATCCAGTCCCTTTACAGCATTGCTTGACACAAAGAAGGCTGGGCGGTGAAACCATCATCTGGAAATCGGTTGGGTCAGGGGAGGCTTTGACATATCATCAGATCTGAAACTGGTCAGGGTGTGGAACCTTCCATCAGAACCAGCCTATCTGAAAATCTGTGGATGTTCGGTCAGGGTGAGGCTGAAGAAGTGAGTGGTTCCAAGTGTGGGAAGAGCTTCATTCATTCATCAAGCCTCATGAGCCACTGACTCAATTCTATTCAAATGTGAGGCATTTGTGGAAGGCTCAGCAGAGTCCCGACACCATCTCTCACGCAAGGTGCTTCAGTTGTGAACACACAGACAGGCACATGGAAGAGAAACCATTCAAGTGTGAGGTTTGCACTGAAGCTATTGTGATGTCTCCAAGGCAGATGATGCATGCCTGGGAGAAGCCCTTCAGTTGTGATGTTTCTGAAATGCCTTTCACTCAATCCTCCCACCTCCTGTCCTACCCAAAGATTCACACAGGGGAGAAATCAGTGACATGTGAGACATACAATAGCTCATTCTCACAGTTATCAACCTTCCTCAACCAGGGAGACACTCACACCAGGGAGAAACCATTCACGTGTGAGGTATGCCACAAATCGTTTGCACAGTCATCAACCCTCCGTGTGCACCATCGCATTCACACAGGGGAGAAGCCATTCACATGTAATGTGTGCAACAAATCATTCTCACAGTCATCGAATCTCCGTGCGCACCAACGCATTCATACTGGGAAGAAGCCATATACATGCGATGTGTGCGACACATCATTCTCGTACCCATCAAACCTTCGCAAGCACCAATACCGTCACACTGGTCAGAAACCGTTCAAGTGTGAGGTGTGTGATCAGGCGTTCACACTGTCAGCGACGCTCATGACTCACCAACGAATCCACACCGGTGACAAGCCGTTCAAGTGCGAGGTGTGCAACAAGTCTTTCTCGCAGTCGTGGCCGCTGCTTGTGCACCAGCGTATTCACACGGGAGAGAAACCGTTCACATGTGAGGTGTGTGACAAATCATTCACGCGATCATCGACCCTCCTGCAGCACCGACGCATACACACTGGGGAGAAACCTTTCATCTGTGAGGTATGCGATAAATCATTCTTGCGCTCATCAACCCTCCTCGAGCACCAGCGCATTCACACTGGGGAGAACCCCTTCACCTGTGAGGTATGCGAGAAGTCATTCTCACGGTCTTGGACCCTGCTTCTGCACCAACGCATCCACACAGGGGAGAAGCCATTCACATGCGAGGTGTGTGACAAATCATTCTCAGATTCTTCAAATTTGCGGAAACACCAGCGCATTCATGCAGGGGAGAAACAGTTAACATACGAGGTGTGCAACAAATCATTGTCTGAGTCATCATACTTGCTCCCACCGGATGCCCAGACAGGGGAGTAACCCTTCAAACGAGAGGTTTCTGTTGAGACTTTTGTGACCTTTTCAACCCTCTTGGGACTTCAGAGGATACAAATAGGAGAGGAGCTCTTCAAGCATGATGTTTGCGACAGGACTTTCAGCCAAGTCTCTGATCTCCTGAAACCAGGGGATCCATCTGGTGAGAAACCATTCAGGCGTGAGCCATGTGACATAACTTTCATGCTGTCAGTGTATCTCCTGGCCTCTCGCACATGAGAAACCTGTTCAGTGTGAATTCAGTAATAAGGCCTTTAATCGGTTCTCAGCTATTGTGGAACACCAGGTGAACTCGTTCAGGAGGTACACTCCTGTTCCTGTGTGAAGTCAACCACAATGGTTTACTTGCTGCTGATCTCACCGCACACCAATGTCTCCTTACAGACTTGGAGCTGAGTCACCTGCTTCTGTTTCACTGAGAGCTGTCTGTGTTGTTTACCCTCCAGTGTTCTTACAGGGCAGTTGTCGTTCCAAAGCACCGTCTGCCTCAACAACGTGTGTCTGAAAACTTTCCCACCATCAGTCTAATCATTTCAAGAAGGTCAATTTAACCTTTGACTGAATCGCCAAAAGAAGACATCTCTATGTATAGAGGCTCCTGTATAAACTCAGCATCTTTTCGGTGCCGTGTCAGGTACGTGTCATTCACTGACTCTCAATCTGAACAAGAAGACAATCCAAAACTGAGTGGTTAGAAAGGCTTCAGCTTCTGATTGACCAGCATGAACTCCTGGGACAAGAGCCATTCCTAGGGTGGTAATGGAGGTACTTCAGTTAGCCTCAATGTCTCTGGTCTATGCAGGGGAGAATCAGCCAGGAATCCCGTTACTCATCAGTGAGCCCAGCTGGGAAGTTAGGGGAAGGCAGGATGTATCTTGGCTGTGAAAGTCTCCATTGTCTCACATTCACTGCCTGGCTTTTCACATGCTGATTGGCCGCTCAAATAGAGAGCGCTAGTGGCCAGTCAATGTCCAGTCTGTCCTCCAGGTCAATACCTTGTGGATTGGAGGGAATGGGGAAAAGGACATCAATTTCCCCCGCCCCCTACAAAAACAACAACTTTCATTTATACAGTACCAGTATCGTAATACATCCTGAGGTATTTCACACAGCTACAATCGTATCGAAATTGAAACTGAAACAAGAAAGATATGATAAGGAATAGCGCTGCATCTCCAAGAGGATTTCCTCCACCACGAGATGTGGGTAATTCAGAAGAATGTGTCGGCATTTCCCCAAGTTATGGTCAAGCTGGAAACATCTCAGTAGTTTGCACAGCATGATTTATCTCTTGAACATAGTTACAATTATGACATTCCTGAAGCAAAGGGAAACTCGTTTGCCTCGGAAATCCGTGGAATGAGGGAATGGACTCTTCATGTGAGCAAATGTCTGCCAGCTTCGAGCTCAGCCAGAATACCATTGTGACTGCAGGTTTTTTTTCATCTGATTGCTGGGACTGGGATAGATTGGAAGGTATCAGCTCCTGTTCACAGTTGCTGAGTTGTTTATATATTGACCTTAATGACAGAGAGCCACCAGAATTATTCAGAATGACAAAAACTTGTATATAATACTTTGAGTCTCAACGGCTTAGTGATGAGGTACGGCAGTAGCTTAGAAGGAAAGAAAAGGAAGCAATTCCTGCTCTCTCGATCCTATAATCCTTTTGGAAATTATACCCCTTGTTCCCAAAAATCTGTGGGTCGCAAATCAGCACGGTCAGTCCCATAAAGATCAGTGGCAGAAACTCCCAACCCTGAATAGATGTCATCTATGATTGAGGGACAGGTGAGGAGGAGTTGGGGGTTGTGGTGGTGGTTAAATGAGAAGAGAGAAAAATAGAGTTTTGAGGCGGGAATTCATGAGCATGGAGTCTGGACTCTGAAGACCCAGCCATCATGGTGACATGAAGGAAGTGGGCCACATGTACTGATGAACTGAACTGTGTAGATCTGGAGGGTGACACAGATAGGGAGGGAGTGAGGCCATGGAGCAATTTGTGTTTGAACATGAGAATTTTTAATTTGAGGCACTGGGGACATAGAAACTAATGTAGGTCAGTGAGCACAGCAGTGATAGATGTGAGAGTTAGGATAGAGAGTGCAAAGTTTTAGCTGAGATAAAGTTTATGGAGGGTGTAGGATGGGAAGCTGGACAGAACATTAGTCCAGTCTAGAAGCACCTGCAGTATGGATGAGGATTACAACAGGAGATGGACTAAAGTCAGATGGGAGGGTGTTGAAAATGGAGTTTGAGTTTAAACACATTGCCTATGACTCTGTAGTTATTGAATACCTATTTCTTCACTAGAGACTTTAACCACTCAATCAGTAGGAGATACTGTGGTGATGTAACTCCGGAAATGTTTGTCAACTACCAGAAGTAATACTTAACAAGTCTAGGTAGCAAATCTATTGTCTCATCGTGGTCCTTGCTTCCATATTCAACCTAGAGTGCATGCAACCTTAGTCTTACTTCCCTTGGTCCCTGCTGTTGTCTTCTGTTTCTGTCTTGGACGACAGTCTCTAGTCTTCAGTTTCAAGTTTTACGTGTGCTTTGGTCCCTGAAAGATGGTGCTTTGTTAACGCTTTCCAAGCACAACCATGTGCAGTGATATTACTAAACTTCAGTGTAAGTGACAACAAAGGGGTCAGTTGCACAATGAAGGAAACTGTTGCCATAAAGCTTCTAAGTCTGTCAATCAGCAACTCCAAAGTCATCACGTCCCTTGGCTTCCTGCTCTAAGACCAGCATTATGCAACTCTCCTCAGTGTTTACACTCCAACCCTGAAGGCTCATGCAGCTGAGTAAGACATATTGTACACAGTTCTGTCTAAACTCATCCAGAATTGTCCTTGGCAATTTCAACATCACAATTCCCATCACAGCCTGGCATGGAAGGAAGTCTTGGAAGCCGGGAGTTGGAAACTGCAATGAAAACAGTTTCTAATCTTGGAATTCTATGCAGAAAACCAGCTGTCCATAACTAAGACCTTATTTCCAGAAAAAAAGCATTATTTCAAGTATACATGAAGGTACTCTCATTCTAAACAGTAGGACCTGAGAGACTACTCTTTGCTGCCCCAGTTTGACCTCGAGGATGTCGTGCATTCCCATTGCTAACTGACATGTAAACCGGCTGAAATTCCATTTCATGTTTAAGCTCACGAACATTAAAGGCAACCCTTCAAAGGAACATTAAATCAGAATCTTGCAAATCTCATTGTGCAGAGATAGCTATCAAACCTGCAACACTGGCTACTACAGAACAGGTCAGACAAAAGTACAACTAGTTTAATGAAAGTGACCAGGAAATCCAAGATCTGCTACCAATAAAAAGGTGAGTCCATTGGGCTCCCTCCTCAGAAAAAGATAGCTTACCATCAAGCGTACAGTATCCTTCATTGCAAACTGAGAATTGGGACTAACAGATGGATCATGCTTTGTAGGAAAAAGCACTGATATTGGTGACGTAAACTTCAATGAAGCACTAAAATCTATCTGTGGAGCAATATCTTAAACCCAAGAGTACCAGGCGGAATGCCGACATTAAGACACGAACACACTGAGGAGGAGTTACTCCTGAATCACCAGTCTGAGCGCTATGAGATATTCCTCAGTGCCAAGTGCACATCAGCCTCCTCCAGCAGCAGACTCCGAGAAGAACTAGCTGAGAGCACAGATCTGGGAGAAACTGACTCCATCAACCAGATGATGAGAAGCAAAGCCCTCTGAGTCTGTGCGGCAGTATGGTGGCTCAATGCTTAGCACTGGTACTTCAATGCCAGGGGCCCAGGATCGATTCCACTCTCTGATGACTGTCTGTGTGGGGTTTGCACGTTCTCCCCACATCTGTGTGGATTTCCTACCACAGTCCAAAGATGTGCCAGTTAGCTGGATTGGCCGTAGGAAAATGCAGGGGTAGAGGGGTGGGTCTGGGTGGAATGCAGTTCAGAGGGCCGGTGTGAGCTCAATAGGCCAAATGACTTGCTTCCACACTGTAGGTGTTCTATGATTCTCTGAACTCCACCTGAGAGTTTGAAGCATGGTGACCCTACACGACACTCAATGAATTTGTAAAGGTGTTCCAGGATGGAACAGGACTTCGTGATATTGTTGTCATCACCTTGTACAAACACAAAGAGAAAAATGTCATTATTCCGACTATCATGGGGGCATTCTCCTTCCTATTTCTGGGAAGGTCCTGGGTAACGAACCTGTGAATTCACTTATGCCTTCCATTGCTGAAGGAAGTCTTCCAGAGATGCTGTACAGTTTCAGGACAAAGGGAAGCATCACAGACATGATATTGTCTCTAAGTCAGTTTCATAGACCTTGCAAAATTGTTTGATATTGCGAGTAGAGATGGACTCTGGAAAATTCTTGACAAACCCTGATGCCCACTTGGTTACGGTGAAGCAATCCATGAAAGTCTGTACAGGCAAGTCAAGCGCAGCAGTAACCTCTGACAAATCTCCATATGGTGTTGAGCAGGAATGTGAGCTGGTCCTGACCTTATGCACCATCCTTTTCAGTGTGATGCTGCCACAAGCAACAACACACCTCCAGGAGGAGTTTTCATGTGCTTCTGGATGAATGAGGGGGTCTCTTGGGCATCCTCGGGTATATACAAAGACATGGGAAAACCTCATCTGTGAGCTACCTTTTGCTGATGACTGCATCCATAACTATTCACACATGCAGCGTGTAACAACATGTTACTCCGAAATGATGCAACTCTTCAAACAAAAAATTAGTTTAAACAAAACTGAAGCACTGGACCTCAAGACAAGTATCTACTAGACGTTATCATCGAGAGAACCCAGCTGAATGCTTTTGAGCAATTTACCAATTTGGAGAGTTTTGATGCCACCATAGACAAGGAAGTAGACAACAGGCTTTCCAAAGCAAATAGTGCATTCAGTATACTCTACTAACAAGTGTGGAGAACTGTAAACTCAAGGCGAGGACCAAACTCTATGTGCAAAGACGTAATCCTCACCACCCTCCTTTATGATGCCCAGTTAGGCGTTCAGCACTGCAGTCATGTACACCTTCTTCAATGCTTCCATTAGCATCGCCTCCGCAGCACCCTCAGGATCCACCGTGAGGGCTACACAACAACCATTGAACTCCTGGAAGCAACCAACATCACCATTGTCCTGCAAGGCCAACTGATTTGGGTGGGTCATGTTGCCCAGCTGGACAACAGTTGCCACTCAGGATTGTGTATGGGGAGCTGACCAATGATACAACCCTCCTAAAATCTTGGTGTACAAGAGGAGTCAAGAGAGAGGTCCAAGTGAGATGAGGCTAGATTCTAAATGTATGATCAATCTCTGGCTCTTAATCATATTTATCTCCTAATGAGACTTCCCATTATCTTCTGACTTTTTCCTATGATGTCATTTATTTGACCTCTTTTTATAACTTCTCACGAACAAAATGACACATTTTACAGTATGTTATTGACCCATTTGCTCAGGAGAAGAAGATGTGTGCTGTCATGCCCTCCTGATTGATACCATGAACCTGTTGTCTCAGACTTACTTAACTGAGCGTTCTCATTAAATAGAATCCTATCACGGTGACCATTTTGATGTAGAGGTCATCTGCTAGGGATTATTCTAACTACAGTTGGTGCTTGGATCAAATTACTTTTTAAAATCAAATGGTCAATGGTAAATATAACCTAAAAAATAGAGATTGCAAACTAGATAATACTTAACCTGTATAGAGTGTATATAAACTATGTGCATGATGACAATCAGTATGTGGAGGATGAGTTGTTGTTGATCAGTATACTTAAAGATTTGGTTAATACATAGTCTTATGGAATAAAGGTCAAAAAGAATTATACTGTAAAGACTATTACTGAGCATAACACGAAGACAAATAATAGTGCGATTTAGCAAAATATGGCTTATGTTCTCAAACACTATAAATTCAGACTAGACTAATGTAGAATTAATCTTTTGCTCTTTTCTACTTTGCATAATAAGTCTTTCTAACTTTTCTCTGATGGCCATAAAGCCAAGTGTTTGGTAAGGATTTAATGGGATGCACAGTTGTTCGAGCTTGCTGCTTCAACCGTGATAAACTGCAAATTCTCACTTTGAGATACGGTCAAAGTAAAGCAGGGGGTGTGCCTTTTAACTAAAGATGGGTTACAAGCTGAGTCATGATATATTGTGTATAATTGTTTTAAATGAGCTACAATTAAACATAATATTGTAAACTGATGACCATACTTCGATTATTTGATCATAAGTAAACTTAAACTAACCATTAAATGTAAATTTCCCTCCATTTCCAGTCTGAAACTGAGCTGGAGACTGAAGCGGTTGACACTGACCGTATGATTGTTGGAGATAAGTGGAGAAGAAGTTAAGAATGTAGGAACTGGAGTAATCCCCTGAGACTGTTACATCATTCAATTAGATCATGGCTAATCCATATCCCCACTCTTTCTACCTGCCTTAGTTTTGTCACACTTGATCCCTTTGCCTAACAAAAGAAAGATATCAAACTTGGGACTTGGATGCAGATTTTGAGTCATTGCAAGTGCTTTATTTTGTTTGGTTGAACAACTGTTGTAAGCCGAACACACTCTTGTTTGTCTGTGATTTTTACCAATCTTCTCTATAGATTTATAACTCAATAAATTCTTACTCTAACCCAAAGTATCTGACTTGTCAGCACACTGTATTCCTGTTCACTGAAATACTCAAGAGCCTACTTTCAGAATTCAAAGGAAGAATGAAGTTGAAGCTTTTTGTATTGCACTCATCAGGTCTAGAATACAAGAAACACTTGAGAAAGGAGAACAATTTGTACAGTAAGAGAAGAAGGTGCTAATTGGTTGTGCTATCGCTGGCATAGAGATGCAGAAAGAAGAGTTCATCTTAGTTCTCAACAGTGCAAATAAACTGGTTGGTCAGGTTATTGTCATGGGAATGCGGCCGAGACTGGCAGAATCATGACCCATTTTTTATCAAAAAAGGTGCAATATATATTCCTTTCGCCTCTGTAAAACAGTCGTGTGTAGCTTTTGGCATGTGCAAATTCGTCACATTGCAAGTCTGACTGACAATCTTTAACTGCTTTTTGGTATAATTCACAGCACACTTCAAGTTCTTTGATAAATGTTGACCGACAGCAGAATCAGATCTAATGTTGAATCAGAGATAGTAGGAACTGCAGATGCTGGTGAATCCGAGACAACAAGGTGCAGGGCTGGATGAACACAGCAGGCCAAGCAGCATCATCAGAGCAGAGAGGCTGACGTTTTGGGCCTAGACCCTTCATCAGAAAAGGGGGTTCTGAAATAAATAGGGAGAGAGTGGGAGGCGGATAGAAGAGGGATAGAGGAGAGGATAGGTGGAGAGGAAACAAACAGGTCGAAGAGGCGGGGATGGAGCCAGTAAAGGTGAGTGTAGGTAGGGAGTTAGGAAGGGGATAGGTCAGTCCAGGGAGGACGGACAGGTCAAGGGGGCGGGATGAGGTTGGTCGGTAGGAGATGGAGGTGCGGCTTGAGGTGGGAGGTGGGGATAGGTGGGAGGAAGAACAGGTTAGGGAGGCAGGGACGAGCTGGACTGGTTTTGGGATGCGGTAGGGGGAGGGGAGATTTTGAAACTTGTGAAATCCACATTGATACCATTGGGCTGCAGGGTTCCCAAGCGGAATATGAGTTGCTGTTCCTGCAACCTTCGGGTGGCATCGTTGTGGCACTGCAGGAGGCCCAGGATGGACATGTCATCTGAGGAATGGGAGGGGGAGTTGAAATGGTTCGCGACTGGACGTCCAGTCCCTCTACACCTGCATTCCGCATGCAGATGGCCTTAAGGCCCTCCGCTTCTTCCTGTCCCACAGGCCCGACCAGTCCCCCTCCACTGACACCCTCATCCGCTTAGCCGAACTCGTCCTCACCCTCAACAACTTCTCTTTCAATTCCTCCCACTTCCTACAGACAAAGGGGGTAGCCATGGGTACCTGCATGGGCCCAAGCTATGCCTGCCTCGTTGTAGGTTATGTTTAACAATCCCTCTTCCGTACCTACACCGGCCCTAAACCCCACCTCTTCCTCCGTTACATTGATGACTGTATCGGCGCCGCCTTGTGCTCCCACGAGGAGCTCGAACAGTTCATCCACTTCACTAACAACTTCCACCTCAACCTTAAGTTTATCTGGACCATCTCTAACACCTCTCTCCCCTTCCTGGACCTCTCTGTCTCCATATCGGGCAACCACCTAGAAACCGATATTCATTTCAAGCCCACTGACTCCCACAGCTACCTAGAATACTCCTCCTCCCACCCACCTTCCTGCAAAAATGCCATCCCCTATTCCCAATTCCTTCGCCTCCGCCGCATCTGCTCCCAGGATGAGGCATTCCACTCCCGTACATCTCAGTTGTCCTCGTTTTTCAAGGACCGTAACTTCCCCCCCCTCAGTGGTCGAGAACGCCCTGAACCGTGTCTCCCACATCTCCCGCAACTCATCCCTCAGACCCCGTCCACACAATAAGAACCAAAAAAGAATCCCCCTCGTCCTCACGTACCACCCCACCAACCTCCAGATCCAATGCATCATCCTCCGACACTTCCGCCATCTGCAATCCGACCCCACCACCAAAGACATCTTTCCCTCCCCACCCTTATCTGCTTTCCGGAGGGACCACTCTCCCCGTAACTCCCTTGTCTGCTCCACACTCCCCTCCAGCTCCACCACACCCGGCACTTTTCCCTGCAACCGCAGGAAGTGCTACACCTGCCCCCATACCTCCTCCCTCACCCCCATCCCAGGCCCCAAGAAGACTTTCCACATCAAGCAGATGTTCACCTGCACATCTGCCAATGTGGTATACTGCATCCGCTGTACCCGGTGTGGCTTCCTCTACATCGGGGAAACCAAGCGGAGGCTCGGGGACCGCTTTGCAGAACACCTACGCTCGGTTCGCAATAAACAACTGCACCTCCCAGTCGCGAGCCATTTCAACTCCCCCTCCCATTCCTCAGACAACATGTCCATCCTGGGCCTCCTGCAGTGCCACAACGATGCCACCCGAAGGTTGCAGGAACAGCAACTCATATTCCGCTTGGGAACCCTGCAGCCCAATGGTATCAATGTGGATTTCACAAGTTTCAAAATCTCCCCTCCCCCTACTGCATCCCAAAACCAGTCCAGCTCGTCCCTGCCTCCCTAACCTGTTCTTCCTCCCACCTATCCCCTCCTCCCACCTCAAGCCGCACCTCCATCTCCTACCGACTAACCTCATCCCACCCCCTTGACCTGTCCATCCTCCCTGGACTGACCAATCTGCCCCCAACTCCCTACCTACACTCACCTTTACTGGCCCCATCCCCGCCTCTTCGACCTGTTTGTTTCCTCTCCACCTATCTTCTCCTCTATCCATCTTCTATCCGCCTCCCACTCTCTCCCTATTTATTTCAGAACCCCCTTCCCCTCCCCCTTTTCTGATGAAGGGTCTCGGCCCGAAACGTCAGCCTCTCTGCTCCGATGATGCTGCTCGGCCTGCTGTGTTCATCCAGCCCTGCACCTTGTTGTCTCAGATCTAATGTTAGTCACAGTGTTCTGGGATTTGCAAGCACAGGCTGATATCTTGCTGCCCATTGCTCTATGTCAATTGATGGTACCTGCCAGTAGTCAGGATGTGTAGCCAACAGACATTGGGGTGACTCTGCAATGACTAGAGCTATATTGAGCACAAAAGAAGATGGCTGTGGTGTTGAACGTCAATTATTTCAGTTCCAGGGCATCACTGCAGGAGTTCCCCAGGGTACTGTACTCAGCTCAGCCATCTTATTCTCTGTCAATGATCTTCCGTCACCATATTTGATTTGATTTTGATTTTATTGTCATGTGTACTCAAGCCCAGCAGTACAAGAGTACAGTGAAAAGTGCATAACTTTGTTACGAAGGCCCAATCTTAGTTACAAGTACCTAGGTACAGAATCTTAAGAACAAGGTAGAAAGAACAAATTTAAGCATTGCAGTAATTATAGTATAGCGTAAAATATATGAAATAAGGTTAAAAGTTACATATTGTAGATTTTATTTCTTTTCTACTTAAAGCTAAGAAAGCTGAAAGTTCAGACATTACAGTCTTTCTTACATGCTTAGCCATGATTGGGCCACACTTAGCGGAATCACCTCATGACCAGAAGTCCATGCTGAGGCCGTGCCAGGCTGAAAGACTGCCATGAACTGCCAAAAGACTGCAATGCTGTGCTGAGAGACTGCCATGCTGGGCCAAGCCATTAATCACTACTCAGGTGCTGAAGCTAACTGCATCCATATACAGCAAGACCTGAACAATATTCATGCTTGGACTGATAACTAACAAGTATTATTCACACCACAACAGACAAGCCAATAACCATCTAGGACAGAATGTAACCACTGTACCTTGATTTTTCGATGGTATTACCATCACCAAACCAGGAATTGACCAGAAACACAGTTGGACTTGCTACATAAATATTGCAGCTACAAGAGCAGGTAAGAGGCTAGGAATCCTGCAGTGAGTATCTAACTTCCTGACTCTCCAAACCATGTCCACCATCTACAACATACAAGTGAAGCGTGTGACAGAATACTCTTCATTTGACTGGATGAATACAACACCAGCAACACTCCACAAGCTTGACAACATCCAGAATAAAGCAGACCACTTGGTTTGCACTATATGTACAAACATTAATTACTAATGCTGAGTAGCAGCAGTGTCACCATCTAAAAGATGCAGTGCATTAACTCACTAAGGCTACTTTGACAACACGTTTCAAATTCAAAACCTCACCACCTAGAAGCACAAGGGCAGCAGTTACCTGAAACACACATACCCACAAGATACCTTCTAAACCACACATCATCCTTACTTCACTGTTCATGTCAAATTCTAGAATTCCCTTCATAGCAGCACTTTGGGTCTACATGTACCAAACTGATTGCAGCCAGAAATGCCAAATCCCATGAATGAATTTAAAAAGGTAGGCAAAGTTTTGGTATGATTTAAGCTGGTAACTAGTTAGAGCTGTAGGTGTCAGTGCTGTCTTTGTGTCTGGGTTCCTGAAGCCATGAAAGGTAGAAAAGTCCCTGGTGTCAGCTGGAATGGCCATTTGATTGCCTTCAATCGGCACTGCTGATAGACCATTCTGCTTTCATTCACTCAGGGAAAGTTATATTGTTATAGTTCAGTGTGTCAGGAATAAAACTCGAGGAATATCCCAATGTTCACTAGAAAGCTCAGCATGACTGAGGCTTTTGAGTCAGTTTTCAAATCCCTCCATCTGCTCCTGTCTCTTATTCTCAGTAGTCCACTGGGATTTCAACGAGGAATTTCTGCTGATGTCCTGGAGTGGGATTTGAACCCATATCCCTGTGCAGTTGAGGATTTAAGTCCAACTGCAAATGAATTCTGTGACCATGAATAATGTTGTTCCCAAAGCCACACAAATCATTTCTCAGGTTCTTGACTTCTATTCAACCCTCAACCAAAATTTACAAAAGCATATTGCAAAATGTGTAAAAAAGAAAATATCCTGTAGATACACGCTTACTTGGTCATGAAACCAAGTTGATCATAGTGTAATGCCTGTAAAGACCCTTTTCTCGTGTACTGTGGGCTAAGAAATAGGAAAAGATACTGCTATAAATCGAGGTACTGTGGAAGATGATGCTGCAGTGTTAAAAAATTGAGCTACTGGAATTCCTTGTGAGTTGTATCTACCTTATTTACAGCAGCAGGGGAGGATGCTGGATGTTTCCGTTCCGTGGGTGTCCATTTAGGCCAGTTTTACCCAGTGACAGATTGTGTTTGATTCAAACAGGACAGTTGTGTTCAAGAGTATTCAGTACAGTAACAACTTTTTGATTAGTTCCTGGGCAGGTGGCAATACAGCACAAACATTCACCCTGTAAAAGAAAGAGAACCCAAATCTCTCTCTGCCACTCTCTCTTTCTCTCTGTCTCTGTATCTTTTGAGTGGAAAGTAAAAAAAAATCCCAAGGAACTAGCTACTCTATCTCTCACCTTCTCTTTGCAAATTCCCTTCTTGAAAGGAAAAGGGGAAAAAAACTCATTCAGAGACACTGAAAGGATAAATCTTCAATCAGTGAATGGAAGATTGAGATTTGGTGTGTCCACAACCTCCACAATCAGGTGACCCTGATTGGCATCTTCAGAAGATCAACCAAGAAAGAATCATCTGTGTGTGTGAATCAATGCATCATGAAAACCATTTTGTCTTTTGTATGAATGAGACTGAAAACAAAGGATTTAAAGCAGAGACAATAACTAGATTACTTTGTTCTTTAATTTTGCTCTGTCAACATTGATGTGTTGTTAATAACCGGCAAAGTCTTTTGTTTAAGATACAAATGTGTGTTTAGAATTGATTATTTACAGAGTCTGGGACTGGTTATTCAAAAGTTTGGTTAGAAACTATTGAGATTAATTTTGAGGGTCTTTTGAAAGTTTTAATTTTACAGTGTTGCGAATACAGAGATAGTAAAGCTGGTTTGGTTTGGCTGACTGCATCTGACTCTATGTCATAACAATACAATAAATATTAGTTTTTTTGTTAATGATTGGTAAAGAAAACCTGATGTGGGTATTCTTGTAATTTGAATTCAACAGTTCAGTTAATTTGGACAATTCAATGATTTAATCAAATTTTCACATTTGTCCCAACCCCCAGGAATAGTGGGCCTTGATTTCTAGTGCTCTATTCCAGGGAGTAGTGACAAAGCTTGGAGGCACTTCAGCTGGGAGTTTGGGACAAAGACAATGTAAGATTGTGTGTGGAGTTAGTGAAAGTGATAAAGGATTGAACAATAAACATCCATGTTAGTTTGAACAATTTTCTTCCCTAAAGGGCATTAATGATGGGTTTCAATATAAACTGATGATATATTTATTGACATGCTGTCAAATTCACCATTTTGTCCCCAATTCACAGGCTTCTCCATGTTAAAAGATCTCTCGTTGTTCCAGGAAACTATCCTGATTATATCCAACAAATTCATGGTTTTTTCATAGTTTTCAACAAATTTCATACTTTTCTCATTATAACCGCTCTTCCTCTACACAAAACTTCTTTCATTATAAACTACCCACTACTTGATCACTGGTATCAGGTCTGTAGGCAAATCCTACTAATATCCTAAATGCTTTTTGACTCCTTAATTCTACCCATATCGGGCTCTTGAATGTTTTAATGCAATATTTCTCCTGTTTCATCTTTTCTAATTGAACCATCCAATCTAAAACAATTTACAGTCTGATATATTTATATTTAAAACCTCTCATTGCTGGAATCAAGTGTTACTATGTTGGCCTCTGCTGGGACCAATGTGATACCCATCACTTATGCCAGTATGTGGTGCAAAGTAATGGTTCTTTGAGGTAGTTTGCTGTCACAAATCCTCCTCTTTCTATCTGTGTCCAGGGCCTATCCTGGTATAGTATTATGGATAGACCGTTGAAGACAATTAAGAGAAGAGGTACTGGTCTTGGTTAACTGATTTATTGCCTGAAAGCAAGAAGTATAACTTGTATTACGAGTTAGACATGGTTGCCAGGGCTGTTAGAAGTTGTACAGAATACATCTGCTCCCAAAAGGTGTTGATATAGAATTCAACTGTCTCCAGTCAAAGACTGTGTGACCTCATCAGATTGGGTGGAGCTCAATGTAGCATGAACATTAATGTCTTCTGAATCATTACCTTATATAGAATCTCCCCTCAAGCTTTTTAGCCTATAGCTACCCATTATATATTCATGTCACTCCTACAGATATTATATCTACTAGTGGCCCAATTCTTACCCCCCCAAGTATCTTATTTTGCAAAATGTAAATAGTGATTACTTGTTGTCCAAGTGGCTGTCTCCTTGTTGTCGGAGGGGCATGTCTACATTTGGCCCCTCTGGTTCCCCTATTTCTGCTGCTAAATTATCCTTGGGGTGAAGAACCAGTCCATTCCTATGGGGCAACAAATGACCTGAGCATTTCACAGTTTACCCAGAGCGTACTTTCTTTGGGCTGTTCACCTTGATTCTGATCAATGAACTATTTCTCCACTGGTAAACCTTTAATTTTATGGAGCTAAGCGTGACTCCCTCCCCTCACTCTCCAGCTGCTTGGATTTCACTGTGAATTCTCTGTGTGATGGTCTCAATATTACAGAAGATGTCTAACTGTAACATATTTAATCTATTGTGGTATAACTCCAGCCTGGGCTGGATCCAGTTTAACATATTCTAGGGGGACTGGGGCTAGTGTCAGTATGTTTACTGTTGGGTCAAGGATTTCAGTATGTCCTATTTTTGCCCAGGAGCTGGTGGAGGACTCTTTACTCTCACGTCCACTTGTTCATTCACACACTGGGTCACGCTGTATGAGTCACTTTACAGGAAACTGAGACAGTTCGTGACTGTTCAGCTTTTTAATTGGTCGTTTTGCTGAGGCGAACCAATCTGCTTCTGGAATTTGAGTTCAGGAAATGATCACAAGTTCGAGGCGAACAGTTAATTAGAATTTAATAGATTGACTTGTTTTACGGTATTTCCCAGTGTGTAAACACTGATTACCCCTCAGAGTGTTTAGGTATTCTAAGTCTCTGATCAGAATAGGGACAGTGACTTCCCAGAATGTTGCTGATCCTTTTCTCTATATCCCTGTGTTTTTCCTGGGTCTCTCCCGGTAAGTACAGAATTCGGCTTTCCATTTTCACACTCACTTCTCCAGCAAACGGCGAGGACAGGAACTTTCCTGGGACTTTATGGGAGTGGAAATGTTAGTCGGTTCTGTCAGGAATTAATGTCACGATTGTACCGATGAGGAGCCGAGGGGAGAATTTCCTTTCATGTCTGTCTCACTGTGTATGTCTGTGTTCTTTCTCTGTATTTCTGTGACTCAGAGTGTGTCTCAATCTGTGTCTGTGTGTTAGTCTGTGTGCGTGCTTGTGTGTGCATGTGTCTGTGTGTGCTTGTGTGTCCGTATGTATGTGTGTCTGTTTGTCTTTGGATCCCTGCCTGTCTCCTTCTGGATATTTTTTTCTTGGTCTCCATCTCTCCGTCTGCTCTCTCCTCTATCCCTCTATCTCTGTTCTCTCTAAGGATCTCTGTCTTTCTTTCTTTGTGTCCCTGTGTTTCTGTTTTTTCTTTGTCTCTTCTTCAATGTCTCCCTCTGTCCCTCTCTTTCTCTCATTATCTCTGTCTCTGGTTCTCTTGATTGTCTTTTTTTTCTGCGGTCCTGCCTCTGTCCCTGCGTATGTTTCTCTCTCGATCTCATTGTTTCTTTGTCTCTTTCTGTCCAACAGTCTTTCCCTTTCTCTCTCCCTGCAGGTTTTGCATTAGAGGGAAACAGCCGTTTCTCTCTCCTTGCACTTCCCAACAGATCTAAAATGAGCTGTTGGTTTCTGAAGCCCAGTTGTCATGAGTCTGAAAATGCCTGATCTTGTCTGCTCTCGTAGGCAGCTTCAGATTTTAGACAGGAGACTGTCTGGAAATACCAGCAGTAGCTTTCTTTTTAAGGCTCCTGCGGCAGAGTCAGAAGGTCCGGGTTTGAGTCCCACTCTGGAGATTTGTCATAACGGGTTGATTCAAAATACTTACAGGTGCTTGCTTAATGTTTGAACTGAAAGAATGATATATAGTGAATAGGCAGCTTCTAGAAGCATTTTATTTCCTGCCAGGAAATCTTCTGATGCAGAGGTAGTAGGAACTGCAGATGCTGGAGAATCGGAGATCGTCAGCCTTCCTGCTCCTCTGATGCTGCTTGGCCTGCTGTGTTCATCCAGCTCTACACCTTGTTATCTCAATCTTCTGATGCCTCTTCAGATATTCACTGATAAAAATCTTCAGGTCTCCAGATCATCAGATTTGGGATCTAAATTGGGAGATGCAAGTCAGGATTCTGGGATTGTCTGGGATTCTCCACAACTGTTCCTGACATGGAGTTCAGAATCAGAGATTTGGGTCAGATATATGTGCCCTATTTGCACACTGAGCCAGGAACAGTCACACAGTTTAATACCTAACAGTCTGACAGTGATCAGCTAATCATTACAACCAGACAGGCCATAGCCTAGGACACTAACCTGAGGAACTCGTGCAGAGATGTCCTGGATCTGAGATGGCTGAACTCCAAAAACTACAACCATCTTCCTGTGTGCTCCAACCAGCAAAGAGTTTTCCCTCCGATACCCTTCTTGATGCCACACTTGTGAAATGCAGGATAAAGGGCTATGAGGAACAGGCAGGAAAGTGGAGTTGAGACCAAGATTAGATCAGCCATGATCATGTTAAATAGTGGAGCAGCCCAAAGGACCGAATTTGCCTACTCCCACTCCTAATTCCTATGTTTCGATGTCAAGGGCAGTCACTCTCCCCTCATCTCTTGAATTGAAAGAAATAGCTGAAAAATCAGAAAAGGACTGGGTTACAGAAGTCTCCACCAGTAGAGTCAATGCACTCAGCATCATCCCTGAACCTGACCAGAAGATCTGGGCCATTGTCTTCGGAACCTTTTTAGCTGCTATTGGAGTTAGGATAGGTATTTGCTGGTGTGAATGCACTATCCGGATTTGAGCATTCCTACCGTTAAACTGGAGATTGTCACTATGTAGGTGAGCTTCCCTTGATCAGCTGGTAGTGTTTGTGAGTGTTTATTCAAGTGTGCCTTGAATTTGTTAATTTTTATTTTCTATAGACAGGAATAAATTTATGGTAATGTATTTAGCCACCTCTGGCACCGCTGATTTACCTGAGTATGTTGGAGTGGGAATGATCGACGGAGTTCCAGTGGCCTATTATGACAGCAGTGCCCCTCAGATAGTCTCCCGACAGCAGTGGATGACAGATGCCTTTGATGAGGAATACTGGGAATATCTCACAAATCGAGGGAATAAACATTGTGCCATTGCAAAAGAGAACCTGAAGATGATGATGAAGAGTACAAACCAGACATCCGGTAAGAACAACGATACACACACTTCCATTTGCCCTTTTCTTTGTCTCCTCTTCATCCAAGGCTCCATTTCCATGTGATACAGTGATTTGTGATAGAATAATTTATGTGGAGTTATTTCAATTTAGTGTATTCCATTCACTGCTCACAATGTGGTCTCCTCACATTTCAATTACCAAGTGTTTTCCTCTTCTACGCTAAACTAAGCAAGCCCTGTAGATCCCTACCCTGAAAGAGGTTGGAAGCGGCTAATCAAGAAGCTGGTAGCTAGCTTGTGCAGCAGTAAGTACGGATTTCACAAAAGAAAACCATACTTGACCCAACCTATTGATAACTTTGCGGAGGTTACAGAGAGAGTAGATAGTGATAAATTGATAGAAGTAATTTATCTGGATTTTCAAAAGGCCTTTGCTAAGTTGGCCCACAACAGACAAATGAACAAGGCCAGTGAATATGGAGTCACGGTCCAGGTGGCAGAACAGATTGCAAGTTAGCTTCAAGACAAAATAGAGAACAGGAGTAAAAGAAGTTATTCAGAGTTGCAGAAGGTGAGCATTCTCCAGAACTGGGACCACTGCTGTTCACAATTTACAGCAACGCTTTGGACTTTGGAATCAAAACTTTTAAAAATTGCAGCTGACACCAAATTGTAGGAGTTGGCTGTGTTTCTTGGGAATTGGGAGATTGTTTATTAGTTAGAAACTGCAGATCTAGGTGGGGGAGAAGAAAAGTAGATCTTGTCATATAAATACATCAATTACTAAAACCTACGTCACAGCCTAGCAAAGTCATTAAAAACCGTGAACCAAGCACTTGGCTTTATATCTAAAGGAATAGCATTGAAAATTAGGAAATTATGTTAAATTTGTATTGATCAGTTACTTAGACTACATACTGCCTGCAGTTTTGGTTCTCACGTTATGATAAGAATAAAGCATTGGGCACTGGAGATGGCACAGAGAGGATTTATAACAATGTATTTGTGGGTATACATATGAGAAAGGAATTGCAGGCAGAGTCCGTTCTGCCTTGGGGAGAAAAGGGCTAAGGTGTGTCAGTTGGAGGTTTTAATAACTTTTAAAGATTTTGATTGCGTGGATGCAGAGAGATCATTTCCACATTTAGGGAAACTCATTCAAAGCCCGAATATATGATAGCCAGAGAAATCCAACAGGGAATTTAAACTTCTTTTACCCAAAGAGCCGCCGCACAGTCATTAAAGTAAATAGTATTGATGCATTTAAGGAGAAATTAGTTCAGTATTTGAGAGAAAAGGCAATAGAAGATTACAAATGTAGGTTTACAGCAAATAGGATGGGAGGAGCTCAGGTTGAGCATAAGCACTTGCAGGGACTGGTTTAACTTCTTTCGGTGCCAGAAATCCTGTGTAATTCTTCTGAACACTCAACTTCTGTTTCTCTACTTTACACACTGTCACTCCCTTTGGCTCTGCAACACCAACTCCTTTGTCATTTAACCCGTCCCCATTCCAATCTGTCATTGATCTTCTCCGTTATTCTATTTCTAAACTCCCTCTTTCACTTGCTCAAAACCTGTTACATATTGAAAAATTTTCCCTGCCTGACGAAGGTCATCAACCTGAAATTCTTCCCCAGTCTGTGGATGCTAGCTGGTTTATTATTATCTCTCCTGACTGCTCTTTTCAGTGAGTGTCAGCTGGGCATCCGTATTTCGTTACACTACAGTCTGTGACCCTGAGATGTACATACAATGTATGGGCAGTCCTGCCCCTAGCAGCACAGCATTCAGTCAGGTAGACAAGCTAATTCCTTCTTTGATGGGATGTTTGTGTCACTGACAAGGCCAATATTTGTTGCCTATCCCTAATTTGACATGAACTGGGTGACTTGCTCAGCCTTTTCAGAGGCCAGTTATGAGTCAACCAGCATCCGGAGTCACATGTTGACAGACTTCCTGTCCTTAAGGACATATACTGAAGCAGATGGATTGATTTGATACTACAATTGGTAGTTTCACAGCCAACATTCATATTCCTGATTTTATCATCATCCAGGACAAAGCAGCCGCTTAATTAACATCAAATCCACAACTTTCAAAATTCATCCCACTACCATACTGCATAATTCCCCATTTACTGCACCTTCATACTACACAATAGCTACAATGTGTACTACCTGCAAGACGCCCTGCAGCAATTCACTCAGACTTCTTTTACAGAGCTCTCAAACTAGCAAACTCCATTATCCAGAAAGACAAGTTGATGTTTGTTAACACCATCACCTTCAGCTTCACTTCCAAGTTACACAGCATCCCAAGTTATTGCAACCCCTGTCCAATAAGAGTGAGTGGATTATGTTGTGGTTGGTTGACTCGTCAAGCTGGTTCATTGTTCTGCAGACGTTTCATTACCCTGCTGGGTAACGTCACCAGTGCAGCCTCCGATGAAGCGCTGTTGTGTTTTCCGACCTGTTATTTAAACTCTGGTGTCTGTTGAGCTGGATTACCTCACTTCTGGTTTTCCTTCGCAATGGTCTAGCTGTATGTGTTTATTGATGGCTTTCTTAATGGACTACCAGGCTTCTAGGAATTCCCATGCTTGTCTCTGCTTTGCCTGTCCCAGGATCCTGGTGTTGTCCCAATCGAATTGGTGGTTTTCCTTATCCATGTGGATGGAGATGAGTGAGTATTGGTCGTGTCTTTTTGTTGCCAGTTGATGTTCGTGTACCCTTGTGGTTAACTTCCTTCCTGTTTGTCCAATGTAGTGTTTGTCACAGTCTTTGCAGGGAATCTTGTATATGACATTAGTCCTGTCCATAGTGGGTAGTGGGTCTTTGGTCTGGGTGAGCAGTTGTCGTAGGGTTGATATGGCTTTGTGTGCTACTCTGACGACCAGTGGTCGTAGAAGTCTTGTAGTCAGTTCAGATGTGTTCCTGATGTAAGGTAGCATGATGAGTGTGTCGGGGCGTGTATTATCTTCCTGGTGTCGTTCGTGTGACAGGCATCTTCTGACCCAGTTTTTCAGGTTTCCATTGTCTTTGAATACTTGGAAGAGGTACTGTTCTTCTTCTCAGCGTAGTTCTGTGCTGCTGCAGTGTATCGTTGCACGTTTAAATAATGTTCTCACACAACTTTGCTTGTGTGTGTTAGGGTGGTTGCTGTTGAAATTCAGTACTTGGTCAGTGTGTGTGGCTTTCCTGTGTACCTTTGTTAGGAATTCCTCATTGTTCCTGCGTTGGCCCATGACGTCCAGGAATGGGAGCTGTTTATTCTTCTCCTCTTCTCTTCACCCTTGGAATTTCAACAGCAACCACCCTAACACACACAAACGAAGTTGTGTGAGAACACTATTTAAACGTGCAACAATACACTGCAGCAGCACAGAACTACACCAAAAAAGAACAGTACCTCTTCCATGTATTCAGAGACAATGGAAACCTGAAAAACTGGGTCAGAAGATGCCTGTCACACGAACAACACCAGGAAGATACTACATGCCCCGACACACTTATCATGCTACCTTACATCAGGAACACGTCTGAACTGACGACAAGACTCCTACGACCACTGGGCATCAGAGTAGCACACAAACCAACATCAACCCTTCGCCAACTGCTCACCCGAACCAAAGACCCACTACCCACTATGGACAGGACCAATGTCATATACAAGATTTCCTGCAAAGTCTGTGACAAACAGGAAGGAAATTAACCACAGGGGAACACGAACATCAACTGGCAACAAAAAGACACGACCAATACTCACTCATCTCCATCCACATGGATAAGGAAAACCACCAATTCGATTGGGACAACACCAAGATCCTGGGACAGGCAAAGCAGAGACAAGCACAGGAATCCTAGAAGTCTGGTACTCCACTAAGAAAGTCATCAATAAACACATACGGCTTGAGCCTGTATACACTCCATTGTGAAGGAAAACCGGAAGTGAGGTAATCCAGCTCAATGGACACCAGAGTTTAAATAACAGGCGGGAAAACACAACAGCTCTTCTTCGGAGGCTGCACTGATGATGTTTACCCAGCAGGGTAATGAAACGTTTGCGGAACAATGAACCAGCTCAGCGAGCCAACCAACCACAACATCCACAAACCGAGCTACAAATCTACTCTAAAACCTTCGTGATTGGATTAAATTAGTGATAATGTTCACTGAGGTGCCTGTCACAGAGGAATGAATTTGTTTGCAGTGTAGGAGATATATGAGTTGTCAAGAAGTGAGGAATGTAGCTGTGATAAGCATGAGGGAAAAGAGGGCAAATATAGATTTACATAAGGCCTTTCTCAAACTCAGAACAGCTTATCTTTAGAGTCACAAAGTGGTCACTACTGCAGTGCAAGGAATAGAGTAAGCAGCTTGAACACAGCAAGTTCCCACAACAACATGTGACAATACAACACTTCTTATGATGTTGACTGAGGAGTAAATATTTGTCAACAGACTGAGGATAACTCCTCAATGTTTCTTCAGAATAATGCCTTGGAATCTTTGATACCTCTCATTAGAGAGAGAACGCTGCTGATGTTTTAACATGAGGCTCACCATGCCTCAGGCAAGGGGACAGATTGAGAAGGGGTAGCCTCAGCTAGTGTGGGCATTAAACCTATGCTGTTGACGTTACTCTACATTGCAAACCACCCATCCAGCCAGCAGAGCTAGCCAATGCCCCTGGGTAAAACCACCACCAGTTTTTTCTTTCTATAATGAGACAGCAGCCTATATTCTAGTTAGACTATGAGTGACTTCACCATGGAGATGATGTCATATAATATGAGACTGCTTCAGCAAATCTCTTCTTTGCTTTGAAGTGAAGTTGGGCTCTGATTTTGTGTTTACAGTAAATCTTATGTGGGTATATGAATAGGAAGGATTTAGAGGGATATGGGCCAAATGTTGGCAAATGGGACTAGTCTGATTTAAGATATCTGTTCGGCATGGATGAGTTGGACCAAAGGGTCTGTTTCCATGCTGTACATCTCTATGACTTTATCTATATGAGAAGGGAGAACAGGTTTGGCATTTCACTTGAAACGTGAACAGACATAGTGAAGTGTGGGGCAATGATTGTATGACCGAGCAGGGAGAAGAACGCAGGAATATTGTAGCAGTGAGGCTGGTGCTGTGAACCTACCTCGTGAGTTCATTGAACATTCTTCATCATTAGCTACAGGCCCCAGGAGCTGAGTTCCTCACATTGATTTTCTTACCGACCCATTTTCACTTGACAGTGTAGGTGTGGCCTGGATGGCTTCATGTCCCTTGAGGGGAACAGGATTTATCTCCTGTGCACCATCAAAAGTAGTATACACTGTGCAAGTTCTGTAGAGCAGCCTGGGTTTCACAGAATGGAGATATTCACAGGCAGTAGATATTTTCACGCAAATATTCCTTCAGTACTATGTACAGAATCAGTTTTACAGTAATAAATCCTGCTGTGAATGAACCAATAAAGGAATCCATTGTAATACTGAGCTATTTTAAGTTTACTATAATCTGGTATAGCAATATAGAACCCACAGAGAAATTTATCATGTAATAAAGAAACATTTCAACCAATAATAGCTCTTGTTTCCTGTTCATTATTGTCAGGAATCCACATTTTCCAATGGATAAGGAGTGTTGAAATAAATGATGATGGCTCCGTTAAGACATCAATGCGATTTGGATTTGATGGAAATGATTTTATTAGTTTAGAGCCAGACAGAATGAGATGGGTCGCATCAAATCACTTTGCAGTGAAGACTGCGGAAAAATGGAATTCAGATGAATCCTGGAACAAGTATTGGAAATGGCAGTTGGAAATAGAACTTGTTGAGCGTTTAAAACTACGCTTACACTTTGGAAAGGAATATCTCAAAAGGAAAGGTATATATTTCAGTCTGATCTAACTTCACTGATCTATGTAACTGCTCTCCTATTCCATTCTGTGTCTGTCTATTGTTTGTATTTTCACCCTTTCCCATCACAGTTCAGCCTGAGGTGTTCATCTCCAGAAATGAGCCCAATTGTCAGAACAAACTGCTGACTCTCTCCTGCCTGGTCACTGGATTTTATCCTGTAGACATCAAGGTGACCTGGCTGAGGAATGGAAAGGTCATGTCTGAGACACAATCCTCGGGGATTCGACCGAATCACGATGGGACCCATCAGATCCAGAAAGATATTGAGATCAATCCTGGGGATGAGGATCAATATTCCTGTCGAATTGAACACAGCAGCATGACAGAGGCCAAGCTCTATCAGTGGGGTAAGGAACTGTATTAGATATTCATGTGAGAGAGAGAGAGAGAGAGACAGAAAGAGAAACAGGGAAAATGTGTGTGACTAGAAGGATAGAATGAATGAGATATGGATAGTAACAGGCAGGAGAAACGGAGACTGTGCCAAGGAAACAGATTCAAAAAAGGAATAAAAGGAAGACAAACTTGGAAAAATAAAATGAAATACATCACTAAGCAAGTTATATATTGATATGTTTTGCAGTTTTTCCAATGGTTTGGCTGGAGGATTTTGGAATCAATTAATAACACCACTTAGCTGTTTGTGTAAAGGCAACAGACCAGCAGTTAATTCTATACATCACTTAAATTTTCTGAGAAAGTGACTTGATTAGAGTTTTGGTGAAGTGGTTGTCAAAATGATGTTTCTCACAAAGCACATTAATGGGAGACAACAGGAGTCCGTAACACCATACAAACGCATCTTAAATATTACAATGGCCTCAATCCTTCATGCAAAACACAAACTGGTATCTCGAAGACCCAGTGGGGACCTAATAGTTAGGCGGTGGTGGGTTGAGGGGGATGGCGGTGGTGGGTTAGGGGCGGCGGTGGTGGGTGGTGGGCGGGTGGTAGTGGTGGGGGAGGGTGGTGGTGGGTGGGGGGGGGGGGAGCGGTGGTGGTGATGGAAGATAGGGAGTGTAGAAAGGGACATGGTAGTGATGGGACACTGTATGGTTAGGGGGGATATGACTATCCTCTGCAGCAGTGAGTGGAAGGTGCCTTGTTAAAGATGTCTCTTCATGTCTAGAGATGAATTTGGACTGGAGGACAACGGCAGGAAGGGGATACAGTTGTTGTAGTCCATGCAGGAGCCAATGATAGGGATAGAGCTCAGAATGAATTTTCACTGACTGAGTTTGAGGAATTAGGGTTTGCTAAAATGTAAAAACTCAAAGCATTTACCTGGATTGTTACCTCAGCCGTGTGTCAATAGGATCAAGCGGATTAAATGTTAGGCTCAAAAGATAATTTGAGGAGCAGGATTGTGACTGTACCAAGACATAGAACATTAAATGAAAAATAGTCGAAGTACATAACAAGGACAATGCAATAATGTTTGTGGGATTCTTTTTTAAAACTGGACTTAAACCTAATTGGTTAAATGGAAACTATGAAATGTATATCTTTTTAACTTTTCTTTGTGCAGAGAGTCTGTTGGAACAAAGAACAAAAGAGAAGTACAGCACAGGAACAGGCTCTTTGGCCCTCCAAGCCTGTGCCGATCATTGTGCCCGAACTAAACTAAAAAACACACCTTTTGCCCATACTCAGTCTGTATCCCTCTATTCCCTCCCTATTCATGTAACCATCTAGATGCCTCTTAAATGTTGCCAATGTGCCTGCTTCCAAACCTCTTCTGGCAATTTCCTATCACTCTCTGCATGAAAAACTTTCCTCGCACATCTCCCTTAAACTTTCCCTCTGTTACATTTAACCTGTGCCCCCTTTAATTGAAATTTCAACCCTGGGAAAACCTCTGACTATGTACCCTATCAATGCCTCTCACAATTTTGTGGACCTCTATCAAGTCTCCTCTCAGCTACTGTCTTTCCAGTAAAAACAATGCTAGGCTTTTTAACCTTTCCTCATAGCCATTTCCCTGGAGACCAGGCAACATCCTGGTGAATCTTCTCTGCACTCTCTCTAAAACTTCCACATCCTTCTGGTAGTATGGTGACCAAAACTGCACACAATACTCCAAATGTAGCCTAACAAAGGTTTTATATAGCTACAACATGGTTTGTCAACACTTGTACTCCAAGCCACGGGCGATGTAGGCAAGCATGCCGTATGCCTTCTTAATCACCTTGGCCGCCTGTGTTGCCAGATCCATCCATATGTTAGTGTTCCTAAGGGTTCTGCCATTAACAGTATGATTCACACCTAAATTTGATCCTCCAAAATGCATCACCTTGCATTTGTCTGGATTAAACTCCATCTGTCATTTCTGTGCCTAAGTTGCCAATCTATCTATATCCTGTTGTAACCTTTCACAATCATCAGCATTATCAACTCCACAAATCTTCATGTCATCTGCAAACTTACTAGTCAAACTACCCACATTTTCCTCCAGATCATTTATATACACTACAAACAGAGGACCTAAGACGGATCTGTGAGAGGAGACTTGATAGAGGTCCATGCTGAAAAATATCCTTCCACCCTCTGTCTTCTATGACCGAGCCATTTTTGTATCCAACTAGCCAGTCCACCCTGAATCCCATGTGATTTTAGTTTTGTACCAATCTGCCATGTGGGACTTTATCAAATGCTTTACTAAGGTCCATATATACTGCATCCACAGCCCTACTCTCATCAATTATCTTTGTTACCGCTTCGAAAAATTCAATCATGTTGCCTGTCAGTAACTTGTCCATTTTCTTCCAAATGTGCATACATCTTGTCCCTCAGTATCTTCTCCAAGAGCTTCCCCCTCACAGATATCAGGCTCACTGGCCTATAATTTGCTAGATTATCCCTGCTTCCTTTTTTAAACAAGGGAACAATATTGGCTAATCTCCAGACCTCTGGGATCTGGCCTCTGGTCAAAGGGGATGTGAAGATATCTGCTAGTACCCCAGATATTTCTTTCCTTCCCTCTCGCAGTAATCTAGAATAGATTCCATCTGTCTGTGGGGACTTGGTGCATTTTAGGATACCCAAAACGTCCTCCTTCAATATATTGACATTTTCTAGAGTATTCACACACTCATCCCTGGCCTCAACATCAGTCATGTTCTTCTCTTTGGTGAATACTGATACAAAGTACTCATTAAGGATCTTTCCCACTTCCTGTGTCTCCACTCATAAATTCCCTCCTTTGTCCTTGAGTGTGCCTACTCTTTCCCTTGCTACCATCTTTCTTCTCCTAAATAAATAAAAAGCGTTGGGATTCTCCTTGACCCTGCTTGCTAAAGACATTTAATGGCTCCTTTTAGCTTCCTAATTCTGCATTTAAGTTCCTTCCTAATTTCTCTATACTCCTCAAGGGCTTCATCAGTTTGTAGCTGCCTAGACCTGTTATATGCTTCCTTTTTCCTTTTGACTAAACTTACAATTTCCCTTGTCATCCATGGTTCCTGAATCCTGCCATTCCTATCCTTCAGTTTTGCAGGGACATGCATGTCCTGCACTTTAATCAACTGGTCTTTAAAAGTGTCCCACATGCCAAACATAGATTTGCCCTCAAATAACTGCTCCAGAACCATCTTTCCCAGTTCCTGTCTAATTTGGATATAATTAGCTCTTGCCCAATTAAGTACCCTCACCCAAGGGCCTCTCTTGTTCTTGTCCATGACTACTCAAAATCTTATGGAGTTATGGTCACTAAGCCCAAAATGCTCTCCTACTAAAGTATCAATTGCCTGTCCTATCTCATTCCCCAATACCAAGTCCAGTATGGCCTCCTCTCTGGTTGGATTGTCAACATACTGTCTCACAAAGCCTTCCTGGACACATCTAATAAATTGCTCTCCATCCAAGCCCCTATATCAGTCTAACAACTTTGTCCCTCAGTCCCAGCTCTTCCCCCCGTAAAAATCCAGAAAATCAATCAGTCATTAACAGCCATCAACCGATTTCCCTTCTAACTTTAACTGCAGTAATTTCAGTATTATTAGTATTACAATAGATTTCTGAAACAGAAAATTACAGAATCATCAGAAGGGGTCAGATCCAAAGTACTTTGTAGCTTGAATTATGCAATGAAGCACAATTTAATTAGTAATCATGTATTAATTGACTCCATGATAAAAGGTATTCATAATACAATTGAATTCCATATTCATTTTGGAAAAAAACATATTCCAGTCTCAAATGAGAATCTTAATTAAATCCAGTTAAATCAGTATGAAGGGAAAGTTGACTAAAATGAAATATGTAAATAAATTACAATGTATGATGTTTAATCAATGGAGGGAAACATTTAAAATTACAACTTAAAATGTTCAACAGAAATACATCTGATTGAGAAAAAGAACTGAGCAAGAAAAATCCAGTTGTGGCCTGCTAAGGGAGCTAGGGATAAAATGGGGAAAAAGAAAGAACAGAAAAGTAAATGAACCAGTGTTATAAAAGCAGATGTTTTACAAGTATATAACATGGAAGAAATCAGCTAAAGTAAACATTGATCACTTAGAGGCAAGAACAATTACAATGAGTGATGTAAGAATGAGAGATCTTGTACAAATATTTCGGCTCTATCTTTATAAAAAAGGTAACAGATTACATTCCAGAAATAGGGAGTGACCAAAGAGCAAACAATAAGGCAATTCATACCAACAGAGACAGTCCAGTGCTCACGGAGTGCTTCAGTGAAATGACAGCCTAGATTTAGTACTTAAGTCCCAATTGTGTCTCAGATGTGCTCACTGCTACTTGCCCATGACCAGTCTCAACTCCAAACTCCTCTACCCTCCCCCACCAACAATTAATCTTACATTGCCAGGCAGCAAATCCAAATGTAGGAGTGGATTTTTAACATGTGTAAAGTTTATAGTATGATAACAGTGGATATGACAATGAGATGGCAATTTATAATATAATTTAACAATGACATCACTGTCATGTGCAAGAGCTTGTGAAGACAGGATAGAACATGCTGCACTCCTGAGAGATGAACTTGCAGTGTCATGTATATTGGTGTAATATGTAGGGTTTGTCAAAACCTACCAGAGTCAGTCTGAGGGCAAGGGAAATCATCATAGCCCACATACAACCAGAAGGAGCTAGAATAGCTATCTCTTCAATGTGCTGAACAGAACACTGAGCCGCAAGTCTCATGATAAGACAAACCATGGTAGCAAAAGTAGAGATTCTGATTTAATTGTATATTGGTGCCATCCAGTGAAATCCACAGGAAAACATCAGCAGAGAACCTCAAATGAGGTAAAGAAAAATATCAGACTGGGGCAAGCCAGTCACGATGTGAGCATCAGCCCTTCAAAAACTCAGACAGCCTCCTCTA